GTACCTGTATTCTCGTTTCATATAGATTTAAAATTAATATGTTATCAACATGAGCATAGATGTACTCGTCATTGAGTTAGTAACAAACTCACGATAACGCGGGAAAGGATTTTGCATACTGAATGCCCTCGTTCCAGTCTCGCTTTAAATATTCAAACAGTCTAGTTTTGTACATAGCACTGCAGGGATCACTGATTGTGCAGACGTGCATATACATTATTTTGTGTACTTACAGTTTTCTATCAGAGGTACTATTGGGATATTATTCACTAGCCATATTTCGCTATAGTGTTTTAGTATATACAGTATCTAAGTTAGGATATGTCCTATCTGTGTACCAAATTTCATTTAAATCCGTTCGGTAGTTGTTACATGAAAAAGTAACAAATATCCTTCCTTCCTTACAAACTTGCATTTATTAATAGAATGTTTCTCGCAAGATTGTCGTGCCCAGGATACTTCTTTATGAAGTGTAACACTACCTGCGTTGTAGTTACGCTCTGACGGGGTGAGAGTTACATGAGGTTGAATGGTCCATTGACCCATTGTGATGAATTTATCAGGAATAAAGCTCACTGATTTCCAGGGAGACCACTTCAACGTCTATCTAACAAGGATATATTGCTAGCATTGAGACCACACGTACCCAGACTATAGACTCTAAAGGTCGTTAATTCTGTTCTGGCTGGTTCTGGTTCCTTAAAGGATTTAAGGTGTTCACCTTAAATCCTTTAAGGAATAAATTCCAATCAATGTATGTTACCTACATAGATTTGATTACCTGTAAAGTGAATTAACAAAATATTATAATGATACTTTTTATCTTTGTTTCGATCCAAATTATAGATGTAATTTCTTTGCATTAATATTATAAGAAACTATATAAAAGAACATTACAAAAAAAAAAAAAACAAAAAAATAACAAAAATGGTTCTGCAAGGAAGGAACCGGATAATGGGTGGGTTTATTTTATAAAAATTCCAGAATAATATTATCCATATAAATGCGGGAATGAATTAACTTTTTCCCATCTTAATTCCAAAGGAGGGAGTGATAGGGATTGTTAGTAATGGGTACACTTGTCTCCATTGTTAGCAAAATACCTTGATAAGTCCCTTCTAAAAATCATAGTGCTCAAATTCAGGTGAATTCATTACGATGGGCTTACTAACTTGTCTTCATTGTCACCTATCATCACTCACTGGTACCTAGCCAGTGTACAGCAATAGCGATAAATATTTTATTTTCATCATTAACAAGTGACCTGTTTTTTCACCTATTATCTCTCCTTGGTACTCCGCCAGTATATCTGTTAGCGCGAGCAGAGTTACTATTCCACTAAGCATTAAAAAAAATACCTAAGAGAGACTGTACAAAAGTTTTTTCCATGAGTATCTTTGTATCACTCGTCGCATGACGTGACCAGTTTGAAGATTGGGATATGTAGGCACGTAGGCATGGCACTTTAGTCTTCAGAAACGGCAATGGTTATGATATGTGCCAGAGTAAATTCTATGGTGTGCATTGTTTTGATCATGTCTGTAGACGACGGTTATCATTTCATATAACAAAAAAAAAAATTACTTGTTGATCGTAATAAATAAGTAAATCAAATTGTGATACTATTATTCATCTTATAAATCCCCATTTCCCAGATTTACTCTCTGGACAATAAAGTGGTGATAATAACGGCGCCTCGTAAACTTAACGACACATTAATTCGAGGCATTCTAGATTATATACTTACTAAGTGAACCGCGACTCTCGTGAGGGTATTTCTAGTAAGTTACTCTTAACTTGAATCGCTATTTCAGTTACTATATATACAAATTCGAATAGTGCGTTAATGTTTTATTTAGTTTATTATATATTTTCAATAATACTATTATCAGCATTATGCTGTACAGGGTGCATAACTATCTAATTATGCATCCTCTATCTACTGCATAGATTTGTAACAGGAATCTAATGTGCTGACGATACATAGGTAAATAGTTTTTAAGAAATAGATAGGAAACAGACAGATTCATATTTAAAAACATTCAAATTTGTACTACTAAGTTTGACCTAGGTCACTGGGTATAAGTTATTGAAAAATAAGACAGAGACGCATTCATAGTTAAAAATATTAAAATTCATATTCGTAAATTTAACTAGGTATACCTTATTTAAGTGAATAAATATTACTAATGTGAATAAATAGTTTAACACAAGGGATACTATATATGAATAGTATTGGACTTATACTATGCTTAGGCACTACAATGTACCGACTTAATAGGTATAACGAATATATGTATATTATGCGTAAAATTTCTCTATGAGGAACGGCCATAGTTTATCACGCATCACGCATAAGAGAAAATGTCAGGGGATGATTAATCAAACGCATATCAAACCGAAGGTGCGCGACGGCCATGGCCTTGAGTTGTAATCTTTGGGGTGTGTTTTTCTAATATACGGAAAAACTTGTGTGTGTATGATGACTATATATTTAAAGAAATGTACTATAATTTAAAGAGAGATAACACTGTTATTTTTAGTTATTACTTCTATTGTAAATTACAATTGATTCCGATACGATAATTTTAATATGTAATTATGTGACGCACAATTTTTCTAATTCTAAACTATTTTTGACATTTGTTACCATATAGGGTTACTTCCATATTAATTCTGTGCTTAATTAGGTTGACAAAGACAATCGAAAGCTATATCCACTATTTTACATATAACATTTTGACAATTACTTGGATTTTTAAATTGATTACTACGGGAGAGAAAGAGATTGTTAGTAATAGAGACTAAGAATCCCATTGCTAGCAACATACCCAACCAGGTCGACCTCCTCTCGGTTACCCCTGGAAACTATCATGGTTGATTCCTGATGAATTCATCATGATGGGCTAACTGGCCTGTTTACATTCTCATCGATCATCCTTCACTGGTGCTCCGCCAACGTATCCCATTAGCGCAGGCGGGGTTACCTTTCCATTTTCACTTAGCAAAAAAAAAAAAATTATTACTACGCTATTTTGCAAGCTTTTAGGTAAAATGATTGTAACGTGTACAAGTACGGTACGGTACGATTGCATTTATATATGTTGTTATTTTATATTATATATAGGTAACTTTGATCATTGCGAAACGATTTTAGCTGCTATTCCCATATCGATCCCGTATTAATTTCTAAAAATTTTTTTTTATATATATAATAGAGATAAAATAACGAAGTGACATCTAAGAACTCCAGATAGGTAATATCTCCGTTAGGTTTATTTATGAGGTCAGGCAGTGGTGAAATTGTGGTATTTCTGGTCAAAATATCATTATCGTTGTGTTGTCAATAAATCTTATCTCGATCATTTATCTTGAAATTTTAGGACGGCAGCCGAGCTGCTGTAATGGACTGAATAAATGGGTCAATGCCATTATTTACATTCCATAGTAAAATTGAAAATTGATTACGTGTAACTTATAAGTTACTAATTTTTACTAGTAACTTCGTCCGCGTGACTCGCATATGATCGCCCGGATAAAATGTAGTTTATGTTTTTTCTATCTTAATAATATTTTATTGAACTAGATGTTATCTTGCGGAAGTCTATATCACTGGTTATTTGATTAGAATTACTTTGTTTATTTCCGCGTTCGTTCGCAGTTTGGATGCTGAACGGTTAATACTCAAATCTATAGAGGCTCCGAGCACCGATTTAATAATTTGTCTGAAGATGCCTTGTTTAGAGGTGAAACACGTATCGCAAAACTTGTGTGAACAAAATGGCAGTCGGAGATTAATGGCTAATATGGAAGGTTGTGGAACTTCTAGTAGTAATAGTGGTGGTCAATCTTCGAATGTTGGCGGTCACACACATACTAATGGTAGCGAAAAATAAAAATAATTCTAATATATTTAAATGATAATGATCTTATTCATAGGAGTATGTAAAATTTTTGACAATTACTTGAGTTGTTAAGGAGGAAATAGGTAACAAAGAGACAACGAAATTTTATGAGTGAAGATGTCAAGATAAAACCTTATTTACGAGTATATTGTCACATAAAACCATATGTAAAATACAATTACATATGTAATTGTATTTTAATAAACATTGAGATATATACCAAAATCTTGCTATTAAATCTTTGATATTGAAATAAAAGTTAATTTTTGAAAAAGTATATGTTGGTATATTAGGTATGTAGTTATTATTACGAAATTGAGTGTACAAGCTGTAGTAAAATTAATTGCAAGCGTTATGGAGGATCTTCGGTCTTTGCATGTAATATAAACTCACTGCCGTGTAATAGGGTATTCAATACTTTAGTAAGCTAACGACGACAGTAATAGAATTTAATAGTAGGTAGGTACTTTCTAGATTGACTTTATAAAGTTACTCCCAAAGGACATACCTCAAACGACACGGGCTTTTAGTTGCACCAGAGCTCACAACCAGACGACTTCTATTTTGTTATTTACATTGTTGAATTCAATTACTTACGTTTCTATTTATCTGTATGATCGCACTTAAGAGATGAACGCAGTAGAATATGCTTGATTGAACTGAGGGCATCTGAAACTTGAATTAAAATTTTGTCCTTTTGGGGGTAGTTTTCAGAACTATGTTTACAGCCATGTTTGTAGAGCTTCATCAAAATCAATTTACTGCTTTTTATGTGTTTATGAAGCAAATAAACTGACAGAAAATTTATCTTTGTATTGTATAAACCAACCTACTCGTATGCCATAAGACTCTAAAGATTTGATCTATCTAGAGATTTCATTTTTCCGTTTGTTGTGTTCAAAAAATACTTAACAAATTTTAAGACTATTTCATTTATAGAAAGCTATATTATCAGTAAATAACATGAACTATATTTTAATTAAAAATAATAATTTAATAGTAATTTTTTTATCTATGTACCCGTGCGAATGCGAAGCAATTCACAAGTAGTGTATAAACTAGTTTTTATAATACTCTTTTATTGCTTGTTCTCAGGATAAACACTACCTCTGCATAATGGCTTCCGACTCTCCAGACCAGAATCTGACACAGTACTTCAGTCTATGTAACGACTTCATACATGCAGCGAGATTAAGAGACGGCAACGTACTTATTCATTGGTAAGTAGGTACTTTGTCGATAATATATGCAGGATGGATTGTTAAGATGGGACAGTAAAGGTCGGGTTATTTATTACCTTATCGTTTTGTAACTTCAGAAAACATTTTGAGATGACTGTCCATAATTTTTAGGCAATAATATATTATAACGTCCACCACAGAAAAATAATGTTCATATAAAGATATAAAAAAGCATATAAGATCATAGTTATGTAAGAATATGCATATAGCTGTATGTACAAGAGCGCAGAGCTGTAGATAAATTACAAAGCAGTTGCGCGGCACTAAGAATATACATATGTATATTGCTTATATACCTATATGTTTACTCGAAATAAATACTATACTAGTACTTGCACATATAACTTTTGTAAAAAAAATGTACATTCAGTAAAAAATTTAATAATTTTTAATGAATCATTTTGTTGACAGAAATAATAAACGATCCTTTCTTCTTTTTTTTTTAAAGACAAGAAAATATAGCACATACATTCACCCGATAAAACTTCATAGCGGAAGATATTTCATATTTCAATTAATGTGTTTAGTTTGCCATGATGTTTATGCGACACTTGCATCTATATGATTTTACAGATGTGCTTTCTGTAACAGTAGCATTGTTCCTACAAAATTTACATCAGTTTAAATTTGCATTCTCATTGTATGTTTCTATGAGTACTTTGAATAGATTATTAGGAAAGTAAAATTCATATATGTAGTTATATGTAGCCTTTGGAATTTTCATGTACATGTGCAATATGGACATGTTATCGTCGATGGAAAATTACAGACGTTTCACTATTGCACACATTTTGCTTTCATATTATACAGTTACAATAAAATTGTATCACGCTATGTAAGTTATAAAAGCGTCCATTACCGTATAAGATAGCAATATAAAAAATTGTTTTCCATAAAAATGACTTCTATAAAAAATAAACTAGAGAACCGATTTTGTTAAAATTTCTATGGAAGTAATTTGCAAGCATATTCTTTTAGATAAAAAGATAATATTCCAAATCGGTTTACAATTGACGAAGTTATGAGGTTACAAACATAAAAAAATACAACCGAATTGTAACCTCCTTTTGTTAAGTCGGATGAAAAGTTAATACTTTTCATCCGACTTAATTAATTAATTTGCAAACAGTCCTCAGCTTTGAGTCCTCAGAAACAATGTATTTTCTAAGCTAGTACATATTTTGTAAAGCTGTTATTATTTACTTACAAAATTTACTGCTATAGCTTGTATAAATTCTGCTAAAAAATATCATGTGTTAGTTTAGGATATAGGCACAGTACAGTACACCTAATAGTCGAGATAGGATAATTTGAAACATTTGCGGTTTCTTAATATAGGTACTAAGTATCATTTTATATTAAAGCTATCGTTTAAGTTTAATCTGTAGCGCTTTACTTAATCGTTATTTCCGTCACCGGTTACACAGTTATTTACGCTGAGTGACTTATACTTACCTACCGAGTAAGGTATATATATCTCTCAAAGAAGTGGTTCAATTCTTTGTTCTATAAGCTTTTTTGTGGTTAACTAATAGCTTACGTAATGGACTTGGGGTGTGAGGGTATGGGGACGGGGCTGACTCTCTTTGAAAAAGTGAAGCAAGGTGGAGAAAATATTAGATTTTCCGTATAAAAAAAATTTATGTATAGCGAGTATAGAACTGATTGTTGAAAGGTCTGTAATTAATTAAAAGAGACTTACAGTTGTTATGGCAGACATTTATATATTTAGAAATGTAAATTTCTGTAAATACAGAAACAAAGATGAAAATATCAATACATAAACATAATATTAAATAATAAAAAAAGATAAATGTAGGTATAATAACCAGCTTGGGTTAATAAGTTTATGAAAATTTATTCTTTTATATTTATGTATATGTACAAGGGGGGCTTAATGCTAAAAGAATCCTTTCCCAGTCAACCTTAGGAAAGTGTCAGAAAACTCGAATGCGGTACTAGTAATAATTGTATTGTATCCATATATACTAAAATTTACGTATATAATGAAATAAATATACTTACATATATATAAGACACACGAACATGAGAATAATAGATAGTACTTACTAAGTACAGAATTCTTTGGTTCAAGTATTTATTTTCTTTTAGTTTAGCGGGCATGTCCCGAAGTGTGACGGTGGCTGTGGCATACATAATGTCGGTGACCCCGCTCACGTGGAGGGAAGCACTTAAAGTGGTGAGGGCGGGCCGCGCGGTCGCCAACCCCAACTTCGGCTTCCAACGGCAGCTGCAGGACTTTGAGACTTACAAGCTGGTTGAGGTAATCTTTACCTTATAAATAGTTATGCTATATAGATTAATTAATGTTCTCAGACAAATTTAATTGTTCCTATTTGAAAGAAAAATAACGATCATAAAATGCACTAAATCTTCAAAAACTTAATTTATTTTAAATTACATCAGTGACAATTATCGAAGGCTATTGTTTCTGTTTTTTTTTTTTTTTATAAAGATACATACTCATATTATATACGAGAAAAAACTATTTTGATATTTTTATATGGAAGTACTAAAAATCTATGCAGCTTTTAATAAATTACGTCAGAGCTAAGCCTCTGTTTCTGTATAGTACATAAACTCATAATGTTATTCATCGTCTAAAAATCAACCAAAATGAACCAAAGCTAAATATTTAATTGTGAAGATAAGGGTCAAAGAAAATTATAAAACATTTCAGAGAGCTCCGTTTAAGTATATTACTGTGTGTATTTATGTGTGTGACTGCCAACGAGTGTCCAATACTCAAACGGTTGTTGAACACTCGTTGGCAGTCGCAAACATACTAACAGAATTAAACAAAATAATTCTATTCAAATAATCAGAAATATGAACTTCCGTAAGATAACACGTAGTTCAGTAAAATAAATATTTTATTTCTAAACTAATAAAAATTTAATTAAACTTTTCCACGATTTTATAATTAAAAAAAGAAGAGGTCCCCAATACGAACGTAATATTCTTGTATTTTTGCAAGACCTAGAATAATTTCAGTAATTCTTTTCCAATTAATAGGTCTTACTCCCGGATTGTCCTTTAATAATTTTGTCATTATTGAGAAGGCTGTTTCTAGTGAAGCAAAATCTTTATTGTTTAAATATAGAGAGATTAGCAGAGTAGTTCTCTATCTGGTAGGAGTGTCTATACAGTGATTACTTCATCACGGTTACAATTTGCAGAAATCACTATTATCTATCTTGATTTGAATCAATATTAATTTTCAAGCAAGCTGCCGAGTTGCTTCCACGAATTCGTTTAATATTGTTTATATAATTTTCATAGCAGTCCTCAGCAGTAGGGCGTTACATATTATATATAATATAAGTTTACATTATAAACTGTTAGAAAAATAATAATTTCTACATTGTCATGCTAGTTCCTTAATAAAATAGACACCTAATTATTTTCATTACTTTACAAGTAGTAGAAAAATAGTTTACAAGTTTACAAAATTTTTAACAAAATATAGGTATATTTTTGCAAATGTTTTATTGATCGTTCTTTTTCTAAGTTGCAAGCTCTATTGCAAGTCTTGCAAGTTACGTTGAAGTTGACAAATTAAGCATCGACCTTTTTATTATTATTATTCCGGGCAAGTATTCAATAATGTCCGGATAAGGAGAACGGAATAACGTAGGTCCTTCCATTATTAAAGTTGGCAGAGAGCTATAAATCAGAATTGTTTAATAAATAATACTAATATTTTACTGTGTCCACAATGTTACTTATATTCTTTGTAATAAGTAAATTCTTTGAAAAAAGTAAATGTAATGCCAAATCAAAAAGAAATAAATGCGCCTCTCTATCTATGCTTGAAGATAGAGCTTACTCTTACCATGAGAATATATAGTATATAATAGGTTCTTACTGATTGGTTGATATAGGTCGTTTAGTTCAGTGTCAATTAATGACTTTAAAAAATCAGAATTAATTGTAGCCGATCACACTGTTGATTTGTATTATTTACTACTTTAATCTGTATTAGTCTTTTTCTTTAGTCTGTATATATGGATGAATCACAATTATCATCATAATGATATGATGCCTTTGCCATAATCATTTTGCAAATAAATGTCATATAATCAACAACGGAATGAGTAATGTACAAAAGTAAATAATAACGGTTTTGAATATAACGTAAAATCCATTTCCGAAAAATCTACATTGCTTGAGGTTCATATTTTTAATGGAAAATTAAAAACTTACACACCCGTACGTACGTGTACATTAATAATACGAGAACATACACACATTGAAAAAAAGACAATGATGTTGTATACTTACATTCTCAAACATAAATGAATTAAAATGATAATAATATTTTTTTTATTTTATTTAGGAAAGGAGACGACTCAAGGAGCGGTACCCGTCCCTAGCGTTAACAGACCGCGATCTTTCCGAGTGCCGAATTATGCTAGACTCATATCAAACGATGTTGAGCGAGAAGACTATTTGCGAAGGGAAATGTGCCATGGGTCGACAATGTCCTACAGGTAACTTGAAACTTAAACAAAACCAATCAAATGCTTTTTCTAAATCTGGTATTATAAAATTTCACTAAGAAATAGTGAAGTCCTAGAAATTCGTAGCTTTAGTTTTTCTACCAGTTTGCAGTCAGAAGAGACACTTACACTGAATGTAGATTAATATTTACACACCTCTATCAATACGAGTATAACTTTTTTTTTATTAATGTGAAATGTTATGCTAGGTTACATTAAAATTGGGGGATATATTTTCAGGATATTCCAAATTATTATGATGTGTTCAGTTGCTTTAAATATTAATTGATCATGCATTTTAAAAATGGAATTTTAATTGGTATTTCTTACACGCGTAGACCCGAGGATCTGATGATGGCAACTACAGCAAAACCTGGATCCTGGGTCCTTTTGGGGGTATTTGCGTTTGCTTTGTAAGTTTATTGGCTTTTATTGAGTGATGATAATCGATTGAAGTAATTTGTGAGCACTTCGATAGAAAGATTTTTAAATCATTATTCATTATACATAGTTCATAATAATATTCTAATTGTAATCGAATACTCAATAGTAATCGAATTTTATAGAACATAATACGACTATGAGAATATTACAAAATAACTGTAGGTATTATTTAGTAGAAACATGCTTTTTATAACATTATTTCAATTAATAGCCTTTAACGCTCATTTACGTAATTATTTGAAAACTTACAATATATTTTAATACAAATAATGTTAATAACTTTCATAATAATAATAATAATATACATACAATAACATTCAGTATAAATTAAAACTAATTAATCTATGCTTCAAAATTATAGAAATCCCGGATATCTATATGAATTTCAGTTATCTTCGTTTGACTTACAAAGGTTAAACTTACACAGTTCTTGGAGTAGGTTACGTGTGTAAATAATAAATAATAAAACGTTATAATAAAAATTATTCTTTTCTAATAAATTAAATTTTGAGTAATCCAACATAGAAGTTGTAGTATAAATTATATTAATACAAAACGCGAAATAAGTAGGTATGTACTTATGAATAGCTCTCCCTTGCCAACAAAGTAATAGCGTGACAGTAAAAGCAATTCAGAACACGTTTTCAGAAGCAAACATCTGTTTCTTATATTATATATATTTGTAAATGTATTTCGTATCGAGTTTTCGGTCTTTAGCTCGACTTCTTGTTATAATACAATGTATATTGCATGTCGTTTATTATAATCAATTCGGAAATCACCTTTGATGTATTAAATGACTTCCGAAATGAGGAGATTCTCGGTTCGTCTGTATTTTTTGTGACAGTTACGCGGCAATTCAGGTTTGTCGCTGATTTTGTTGTTTTTTTTTTTTACAAGATTTACTCTCATATTTGGTGCTATATTTATTTAATAATAAAGATTAATACTGCTCATTGCAAACCAAATTGTACTCGTAATCCAATCTGCGTTCTAATTTCAAATATTCTTAATCCAATATACCTACAAAATATCTCCTTTGTTTATCAGCGTATATTTAGAGTAGATGCTTTTTTTTGCGGAATAATATATAGGTAGTTTTCATACCTAATGTGCTTACTATTATTAATATAGGACGCTTCATAGGATAGGACAGTTCATCATCGGATGCTTATGTATAACCGCAGTAGGTGCACTTTGCTTAAAATTACGTAATAAGTATGCTTTTATTCAGTGGTACACGCTTATATTATATTAACACTTACAAAAGCTAATCGCTACACAAACAAACCACATGCCGTTCGTTCACTTTGGGTGTAACTAAAAACAGAGAACAAATAGGTATCATTTCCATAATTTTATTAGTACATAATAAATATCTTGTTATGTCACATATTTGAATTTAAATCAGCTATTTTGATATATATAGACTTATCTACTTATTATATGCACATAAATTTGAGCACGAAATAAAAAGCGGTTTTCTCAACTTTGGAAGTTTGACTATAAATCTGATAGACTTACAAAGTTGTGTAGCTTTAAAAGAAGTGTAGAAAGCTAAAAAAGAGGGGGCACTTTAATAATAGGTAAAGAGGTAATAGCTATACAGTGAAATTTAATGTTAAAATAGTTGCCTACATATCTATCTGTCAATATTATTATATGTAACTTGGATATATTATAATGCTTATGTGTCTAACATAATATATTACATACATAAATTAGAATACGTTATATTGCTCATTTTAGATGTATAAGCATTATAATATACGTCTTTGACTTTCACTATCTTTATCAAATTACTGATAATGCAAATGTAAAAGTAAATTCGTTTGTTCCTTTCCTGGAACATTAGCGGCTTTAATTTTCTTTAGATAAATTTGAAAATTGTAAAATTCTAAAATGTTTACTCTTTCATTGATAATGACAGAAAACCTGTGATGAAAATTACGCGGCTATTTCTAATAACAGCCTTATTTTTGTTTTTACACTTAGAAGAATTATTGCCCAGTCACGTATATTATTTCCAATTTCAAATTTTTTTATTAAATGGAGACTCGACTCTCATTGTATCTAACAATACAAATATATCACTGTTTAACAGAAATAATAATAAATATTTAGTCGACATCAGCTCTTGTCAGTATAGCGTCTTTAGACACAAAAGAGTGATTTTCAACAAGTACGATTCCTGTCCAACTTCGATGCACACGAAAGGATTTCTTTAGCGGTTTGAAGTTTTTTTTATAACGGATGATCCCTTATTTGTGTGATATGGGTAAACGGTTTACTTACTTTCCTCTAAGTATTGTATTCCTTATTTTTATGATAATATTATTTATATTATTTTTGTAATCTGTGTAAATACAACATGCGATATAAAACTCTTGTTTTTATTAGGTGTTTGTAGAACGGGTTCGAAAAGGCAATCTAGGCCACGGAAGCCTTCCATTCCCGTGACAGCGACCGAAACTGTTAGTGGGGGTGGGGGATTGAGAAGATCTCCTTCGACTCTGTCTACCACTTCTACAGCATCAGGATATCGTCCCAGATCCTCTCCAGCAGGTCTCTACAGCTATACTGGTGGTGAGTATACCCTTACAAACTCTTATAAATGCATATCGATCGGATTAATTTAGTTTGTTGACGGTATTTTAATGTAAATGTAAATATAGTTTTCACCAGAGGGAGACTTTGTACAAAAGTCGTTTGCTTGGGCACCTCTGTCCCATTCGTGTTTCAACCGTAAAAAGTTGTGTTTGCATGGCTGTGTTTCGGTTTGAAGGGTGGGATATGGCGTAAATTTACAGAGTACAGAGGAATAACACCTGAGTCCTCAGGAATGGCAACGCATGGGGGGTATCATGGGCGAAAACTCTGTTATGTCCATGGTACTGCTCATGTCTATAGGCGACGGTTACTACTTTCCATCAGGTGGGCAGTCAGCTTGTCTGTCATTCTAAGTTGTATAAAAAAATAGATATTTTTTTGTGTTGGCTAAATATGAACTCATGATCTTCGAAGTTTACAAATTCGATAGTATGTATGCCACTACGTTACGATGCTCTTAAATCATTTATTGAAGTATGAAAACAATATTTCAATTATTATAGTGTAATTGAAAAATTTTGAAACGAATGAGATTGAGAATGAGAATTCCATGCCTTATTATTAATGCTCTTCTGTATATAACTGAACTACTGCTTCATTAAGTAACTTAAGTAACTTCATACATAGACAGTAGTTTTTTATGGATAATTATCCCGCCTGTGCTAAGTACCAGTGAGGGATGAATGAAAGGGCAGGGCAGTCAGCTCATCTTGACGAGTATACTTGGAATTCAGCACGATGATTTACGAGATTTGGGGGAGACCACGGGGAGGTTGACCTGATAGGGTATATTGTTAACAATGGGATCTGTAGTCAGCAATACTAACAACCCCTTCCCCCCAGTGAGTGATAGATGACAATGAAGTGCGGTCACAACTTGCTGGTGAATTTATCACGATGAGTCAAAGCCCATTCACCAGGTTCCAAGGGGTATTACGTGAAAGGTGACCTGGTATATATGTTGCTAGCTCCTTCCACTTATACGTATGTACATAATGTAAAAGTGGTCGCATTTGACATTAAATAAATAATTTAACAGCCCCATCGCGACCGTCGCGGTCCGCATCAGGGTTAAGCGTGACTCGTATCACGGACCCGGTCGGTGGTGGGACCGCGATGGCTGTAGGTGGTACGGAGTACTCGCGGCGTCGCGCTGCATCCGCGCCGGCTACACCAGCGCTGTCGCCGGCTTCATCACCACCTGGATCCCCGCACAGAGCTGCTCATAGGTGATAATTGAATATTAACTTTTAGATTTTTGTCTTGCATAATTTATAAAAGACGAGCATGATTCATGCAATTATTTAGGTAAAATATAATAATCGTACTCGACGTTTCGACCAAGTAACATCGACCGTGGTCACGAGTTAACTGGTAAAGCGATGTTATGCATGCGCTGCCAAGGTAGAAATATTATCTTCGATTCACCCATTTCATTTCATTTTTTTCATTTTACTTATTATTAGACACATAAAACAGATCATGACCATAAAAAAAAAAAAACTTAAATTGTAGTTGCATTTGTGATACAGCTAGGTTACAATCCAATTATATTATGTGCACAGCTTCAGTAATTCATGTAAACACAAGCTCATATAAAAAAGAAAATTAATTAAATGGTATATAAAAGATAATACAATAAATAAATATTACATATGTTCAATCATATTTTATAAAACAGAGAATAAGTTTTTTCTAAAGAGTAATTATTTTGCACTGAATATGTCGATGGATTTGTAGTCGAGTAGTAAGTCGTTATAATGACAACACATCTTTACCACAGGATTGTAATAAGAGGTGTTATTTCTGTACACTTGTAATGTAAACAACTCATTGTCATATATCATATTAATTATGTCCCGACATTGAAGATTATGCGTCGGGAACAGAGAAGGATGATTGTGGGTTTTTTATTTTTTTATGCGGAAGCAAACAGAAAAGTCAAATCATATAAAGATAAAATTATGAAAGATGCATTGTATGTGTATTTCATTTCAAAATACATTACTTGTTTCTTTGTATTATTATTATGTTTTATTTTATTATTTATAGTCATGTTTTATTATATTTTTTTCGCCATAGGGGTGGCTGTTCGTGGATAATACCCACAATTAACTGGGACCCTGAATCGATGTAGATACTGTACTGCACTTCCAAGTATTTGCATAAACACTTCGCTAACACTCCGTTAATTCAAGGTTATTTTACTTTGTAAGAATTATTTTTAAAACCTTTAATATTGTTGTTTAAAATATTTATATAATGTATAATCATTTATGGGTCTCTTAAGTTGCAGTACGATATTGAAATTAGAAATTATAGTAAATTAATATCTAACTAGCGACATAGAGCCGTCATTTCGTATTTTTTCCATAAACAATAAAAAAACACATTCATAATTCATATATGTTACCAAAATACTACTACCTATTAAATTAATCGATGTTTCTTTTATTATTCAGTAAACGTAATTAGATATACCTATTAAATAAAAATATAAACTGGCCAGTTATTGAAAACTTTATCTACTAAATAAATTTGAAATCCTTACATTCGAAGAGACTGTCTACCTTCCATAATATACTTACTTCTTGTTCAGATTATGTCAACAGTTCTTAAAAACTATGTCTGCAACTATTTTCCTCATTGTAACTAGCTTTGCTTTTTAAAGTCTCTTAAACCTTAGATAAAAGCAAAAGAAGGATCTATCTATGTCATTACTATATAATGTATATAAAGTACCTATAAATAACTACCCATGTATGTATGTATAAAGAGAGAAACTTTGCTGTGAATGTGAAACGTGCTGGTAAGAAATCCTAAAAGACATTATTCAGCTTTTTGATAGGTACTCAGTTATTCCGCAGTCGTCACTTGATCCGCATTTGAAGTTGACTGGGCCGATTTTCTCTATGAATAGCTTTAATAGTCCGATTCCGGTCTACAGTTATTTGTTCTCATTGTGGCCGATCATAACTAAGTTATTTCTCCGTCTACGTTATTTCCTTTACGTTTAGAGTCGTATAAAAATATTTAACCTTCACGGTTGGGTGTTTTTGCACGTATATAGGTAGGTAGCTATGCATGTATTTTTTTCATAAGAAGTGTCCTTGATAAGGATTTCCACGTCGCTAATCTCAATCAATCATTTATTTGCATAAACATGGGTACAGTTATAAATGATGATGTTGAATATTATGTAGAACGCTGTATTTTTGTGTCAACATTTGTGATGCTCTTTTCATTAGATATGATCATTTTTGTAAAAGTTAAAAAAATATTTATCCTTAAATAGTTTTAATATAACTGAGTCTTTTAGGTGTTTAATAATAAAAACTTTAAGATATATGTAAGTTAAAGGGTTCAGTATTTATTCTTATGGATTGAGTTAAGGTCATTATACTAAAGCTTAACACTAAAAGATTATTTTGATGTGAGAGAGGAGTTAAGACAATAAAATGCAAGAGGAGTGATAGAGCTTAGGCACTGAGTTTCTTTTGCTTATACCATAGGGCATCTAATTATTTGAAGCAAGGCTTTTTTATTACTTACCTATGTATATGCAACTCAGACGATGGATGCATTTTCCATTTGGTGGATCGTTCGCTTATTTTCCATGACGATTTCTTTTTTCTGTTTCCACCTCACGTGACAAACTTCATCTGTGTAGTAAATTTCATTCAAACGTTTTTACAACTATTCGATTTTCAAATATTACTAACATTTCTTTATTACTAAAATAAAGAAAGAAAGAAATATTTCTCAGTGGTACCAATTTGTTGGAGAGAAAGTACCACTTAAAAACAAGCAACAAAAAAAATACAGGCTTAAGTTGGTGATAACAAACGGTGTTTAAAATTGACAACAGAAACTTTATTTTAGGAGGATCTTGGATAAACGTGATGTGTGACATATATTATATATGTAAATAAATACTACAATAAATATATACATAGTATATCCATACTATGTTGTTAAACAAATTGCCCTATTAGAATATCAGTAGATATTTGTAACACAAATTGAAAATTCACAGATCGTGTGCAGTACAACGGTGCTCGTAGCAGGCTGCGCCTCGTCCGTCGTCTCGCATCCGCCCAGTATCATCCGCACAACGACGTTGAAAGCATCCATTTTAAACGTAATATTTATTGGTCCAGTTGGAAAACAATGATTTCGATCCTGATCTTAAAAGGTGTCTCTTATTCACTGGTTTAATTTCGTTAAGAGATTGAACGCCATGTTATATAAATGTCTTCAACGTTGCATTGAATTATTGTTGCGAGATGCCGCCAATGTTGAAATTATTAACTTAATTATTAAGTACACAATTTAACAGTCAGCAACGAAAGTTGCTGCACATAATTTATTGTAAAATATTCCAGAGAAAGAGAGAAAGAGAGAAAGAGAGAGAATAAGTATATTTTACTCGTAAATTACAGATCAAAGTGGACAACAATACAACTTGTTATCACTAAAGTTGTTATACCATAAATTTATAAACATCATTGATTATGGCACTTATGACGTACTTAATCCTATCTGTGTTTTTGTAATTTTGAAATTATAGGTGACTTTTTTATATTTTACTTTGTCAAGTGATTAAAGGTTAATGTAATTTTATATTTTGTATCTGTATATGGACTTTCGTTGCTGACTGTACCTAAGCTTCGAAGCTGGAAGACGTCGTATGTTAATGTATACACTCTGCCTTATATGTCCAAATATTTTAGCATAAGGTAGTGTGTGACACAGTGACGCATTTGTGCTATATATATGTTATGAAAAGACCATCACTGGATGAAATTACATTGTGATTATTTAGCAGTGTGGGTGGAGACGGATAGCTACACCATGAAATGTGTGAAACATACGCTCATCAACGAAATAATGCTAGTATCATTTTGCCATGGTCGTTGTATCTAAATAATTGTAGCTGAGCTACAAATATTTTGCAATATTTTATATAGGTAGTGCAATTATAATAATTTTAGGGCAAATAAATTATGAAAAGAATATATTGGAATTGTTACCTATCTACGACAAATTAAAAATCTTGTTGCCTCTTCATGTTGAAACTTAATAAGAGGACAATAGGTAGGTAAGTATATTTATTATATATTTTCATAAAAATAATGTTTTAAAAGTAATATTTCATACAATGTATCAAAGCAAATTTAAAGAAACAATAGATTATTCAAAAATATTTTTGAAATATTTTTTTATAATTTCAGAAATATGCCTGTATAAATATAAAAATTAGTCCATTAACTGTTGTGATTTTATTATTTATTAAAATTACTTTTAATAAATAATTACAATTTTTATAATTTTTTATTTAAATATTTATTAAAAACATTATTACACATTTTCAGAAAATATATGGAATAGTAGGAAAACGTATTTATTGGTTTCTAACCTGCCTACCTATTTACAACAAGTTTCGTTAGCTTTTAGTGTTATTTTTCATTTACCTCTTTGTTCATTTGTGATTTTAATTAATGGAAGAATAAAATAAATTCATATATTAAATATATTTAATATTTAAATATATTACCGAGAAAATGTCTTATTATTAAATTCAATTATTATATAAATTACGGAAGCAAGAGTACAACGTGTGTAATATCTGATAAAAAAGATATAATTTATACATAATGGCTGTATAAATCGGTATAGTATTAATAGTAAATTCTATTAATTAGGTGCGTAGTTACGTACGTACTTGGTCGACCCAGGTAGCACCTAGTGTTAGTAGGTTCGGAGTAAGAAAATCTGGCTGGTACAGATTTATAATATTAAGATTTCTATTTTCCAATGTGTGTAGCGAAATTTCAATAATATTAGATACTTAGCTCACAATTTGCGTGGCATGAGTAGATATTTTTTAAGATTACAACTTTCAGTCACGGCAAGTTAAATTTAGAAATTAAGAGCATCTAATAAAGCACGAAAGGTTGAACGGTAAGCTTGATTTTAAGGGAGCAAACTATTTAAAAGCCTTAAAATTATTCTACGAGATTTAGTTTCATTTTTTTCACTTATTACATAGAAAACTTTATTAGGTACCCGCTTTCATTATTATTTTTATTTATTTCTTTATTAATAACATAAAATAAACTAATTAATACACATTTTAGTTAGGTACAAATTGGAATATACCTACACATAATAATTTAGCACTATTATGGAAGGGTTGTGCTAGCAAAATCTCACTTATTAAGTATCTAATAAAAAGTGACCCCCATTTTATGAAGACAATTGATAAAAGTAAATCTGCAATTTCCCAAAGTATATCTCCCTATACCTACTAGTTATTGAGAAGCTCCTAGTACTTTTTTTCATATGTGATTATGGGGAAATCTTCACAGATATGCCGCACGTTTCAGTCAGTGAAACGAGCGGAGTTATGGGATTCTTATACTATAAAAAACTCATTTATCGCCTTTTTGGATGCAGTGCCGAAACCACGTAGCCGCCTTTCGTGCCGCTACAGAACATAACAATATATAATTAATGTCACGTAATAAATTTAATTATATTTCACACGCTAGGATATTTCAGTTTTTATATATTTATTTAAATTGCAAAGCAACCTAGAGAAAAGCATAGGGCTAAACCGTTAGTATCTTTGCTTTTCAAAAATCTTCACAATAAAGACAAGGAGTGTTTTACGTTTTCTCTATCGTACTACTCTAAGTAGGTATCTCTGAAATTCATCATTTTGATAAACAGGCAGACAGTTAGATTTCAATCTCAATATTGCCATCTATCGATTCCATGACGTAAAAGTTATAAATCTAAAAATAGACTACCTATCAAACATTATTAATTTTGGAGTCCTGAATGAATGCTTAAAAGTATTTTAGTATCATACCTTTCGGGTGCAAATATTATAATTTAGTAAGCATTCACGTAATTTGTACGTCTTATTTCTAAGTCCTAACCTTATTATATAATAGTAAATTATTTTTAAATGTTAACTTTAGCCTCGTATTTTGTAAAACCTTGTTGTTGCTCAAATTGAAAACAAGTCCGTTCCTATCCTAGCACTGCACAATTTAATTTCGTTCGCACTTGTATATAATTGTCATATTGTGCTAAATCTATTTATATTTAGCAATTAAAGAGTGAAAACTCAATTCTAGGGTTGAACTATGTTGTGAAATTTTGCATATCTCGTATCTCTTTTTCTCATTACTCCAGGCATAGCCTGAATTAGAAAATTGTGATTTACATAGATGCCTTTAGTACCTACGGTGGCATTTGTAGTTGATTAGTAGCTAAGTACTTAACTTGTTCGGGTGAGCTGAGGGCAGTGGTTGGAACAAGAGGGTAGGTTCATGACGAACCATGAATAAGAAGTCTAATGTAACTTATATTTTGTTATTCTTTTTTATTTTTATTAAAAGAACATGCGATTTACCTGATGGCAAGTGATTATCGCCACCCATAGGCACCCGCAATATCAGAGAAATTATAGGTGTATTGCCGGCATTTTTAACAGTAATATACTTTTTTTCTTGTAGGTTCCAATGTTTCAAAGAGACACAATGTATTTATGATCGACAAAGACATCGGCAATAAATATTACATTAATATCACACTGTTTTTGTAGGTCTTTTTTGGAAATATAAAATACTAATAAAAAGTTAAAAAGCAGAATAGTAATTTCTACAATAGGTATTTATATATTTATGTATATCCATATACTGTACGAGACATAAGTTGTTTTACAAGGAATATTTATTTTTATTCGAGTACGTTAAACCTCAGAAGTTTTTAGAAGACTATTTATGAAAGTGACCAATTAAGTACCTACCTACTTAAATTGTATAGGTAGTGCCCATGAGTATATATATACCAGTGCCCTCAGACTCAATCAGACAATCCTTTGAAATGATTATGAAATGCTGCCACTGTAGCTTTGTTAAGAAATTGTCATGAATTATCATAGATACATAAATTATTATTTAAACATTTGTATAAAATTGAGAAGTGACAAAACGGAAAATGGATTTTATGTAGATACAATATAGATTTATGAGATAAAATAAATATAAAAGATGGATTGTATGTGAGAAAATACGAAGAAATGAATTTCTGTAGTAAGGCGAGTGGGATGCCTGGATCAGAACTAGCCCTTAAACAAGTGATAAACAAATTTATCGATCGATAGATTTTTACTACTGCATATATGGGACAGTAATGTCTGGCGTTTTGTTTTTCGTCATGTGTGTCATAATTGAAATACATATATAATAGGGGTGAGTAATATATAGCAATATCTGTATATCGTAATTAAAATATATGGATATTGACCCAATAATCCAATATTATAATATTGAAATGAAGAACTCGATTGAAATGAATATAGATCCAACTGGTATGGGCGATATTCAATTGATTGATGACCTTTTTTCCGCTATCATTGTCCAGAGGAACCCAATATATAGATATCGGTATGGTACCGATATTACCCATGCATAATATATAGATAATTAGACATACACCGATAGATTTGTGACTTGTTTCGGGGCTAGAAAGGGGGTAAAATGTAGAATAAAAAGCGCATTTTTGCTTTCTTTATTTATGCTATAACGATCCTGCATAGTGAGAAAAGATCTCAAGGGTGATGACAAACTACAGATAAAAAATACCAAAAAAAAATCTCAAAATAACATCAATTGGCATAAATAGATATCTGAATTATTTAGAGTGACTACACAATGGATGGTTACTGTAAGATTAAGTACCTATACACATTATTATTACCCCCAATAAAAAACAAATAACGACCAACGTGTGTTTACAGCTGATACGAATATGTAAAATGTGCTGTTTCTAAATGCTGACTATATAAATGCGAAATGCTCTATGTTATGTTTAACGCATGTTTATCATGTCAACATTTACGTAGGTTCACAAAAATAAATTCGTGTCAGATATAAACGCGTGTTGCCCCTGCAAGCGTTTAACGCCTGTCATCCGAATGTAGCCTTATGGATTGTTATAAGTAGGTAGATATAAAATTGAATTTCTGTCCCTCACACCACGTTTACCTTGAACATGAACCTACCGACTCGTTTATATCTAGATGGAGCGTCCACTGTCAAAAATGTCTTAATTATTCACCCAACTTATTAACTGACAAGTATAATATTTGTTTTAAACAAAAATTTTCCCATTTTTCAATGTTGCAGTTAATTATTATATTTGGATATCACTATTTACGCACATAATAATTAATTGTGTAAATTAGTTTCATTTAGGTATAATATAAAATTGACACAAACACTTATAAAAAAATATTTGTTTTAGAAAAGCGTTTGTAAATAGATGCTCTATCTAGATATTATTAATCTATCCTACAAAATATATACCTATAAGTGATTATACCAAATTTTATACATGTTGTGTTGTGATAAGTAAATCTATAAAACCTTGTTTTTTGGTTGTGTAAATATCTTCATAGCCGTTTCCATCAGTACCTAAACCTAGGTGGAGTCGCAAACATGACATATTTTAGGACTTGTAGGTATTTTGATGAAAACTAGGCCAGTGATTCCATATAACAGCAAACACCGCGTAAATACTTTTTTCTCCAACAACAGCGCCATTAGCGATTAATTAACAAAAGACAGAAGTACATATAAGTATAAGAATAACAGCAATTTTAGTTTGCAAATTATTTGCTGTTATAGGGACTACATCCTTAGAGATTGTGATAAATTTGACCATCCTTGATGCTATATGATGCTATTGCTGAGTGTACCAGAGCATTATTAATTTGCCAATTCAATTATAGCAAAGCATTTCGAAAAGTTTAGGTACTTAAGTATGTATAGGTACCTAAATAATATTTTATTTTATCGTATGGTGGCCATATCGTAACTTACTCTTGTGTTATTTGCATTAGTTTAATATCATGATGTTATTTTTATAATACTTACCTATATTTATAAACAAAAATAAGACAGAAATTTAAATATGTACATGGTGGTTTTTTACTTTTTTTTTAAGTACGTTTGTTCCGTTGTGGAACATGCTAAGGTCGGAGACCATACTGCCTAATTTTCAATGTGAAAATTTGTCTGAAATTTTATGTTTTTTACTATTAATCATTTAGTTTTTTTTTATTACTTATATTTAAGTATCCGGGAAAAAATATTCAATATGGCGGATTTTTAATCCTCATCAACCTGATAATTGATGATGTGGCCGTTATATGGTATTTTAGGGTATTTTATATAACCTGTTATGGTTACACAATTGAATTCAGAGATTTAAAAAATGAAGCAATAAATATAAGTAAGTACCTATTTTGTGATTGCAAATAAGTACTTGGAAATCATAATAATTACTGCAACTCTGTACCTATATTTTTAATAAAAAAATAATTATATTTATGTACGATGTTTTATTTCATAATTTGGAAACAAATATTACTAGTAAAGTTATGTAGATGGGTAAGTATATAAGAAATAATTTAAATAAAAACAAATAGATTAATTATATCAATATGTATTTCGTATGTAGTACTTAAAAACTTGGAGCTAAAATATTTTAATTAATATCTAACGTTTTTTATATCATACTCTTTTTCAACAATGATCCAGACAAAACTGCTCTATTACTGCATTTTTCCACTAAGTATTTCAGTTACAAAAATAATTTTATTTATAATTGAAAGAATCAAAGAAATATTTATTAATTCTAAATTACAGTAAAGTGACTTAGTTATTACTTGATTTGATTAAAATTTTTATTTATCTTTATGATAGGAAAAACGATCGGTATATTCGACCATTTGTACCTAAGTATATCGTGTTTACATCTGTAGCAAATTATCTATAGGTATATTCACAAATGTAAAGCCGAGGCAAAACGAAACTGCGTTCATGAGTAATAAATTAAGAGAGCTTAAATTTTTGTATGTTTGCTCTAATAACTCATGACTTCAGCAGGTATTACATACATTCAGACTCATTACAGCTTGTCACTAATTGTGTTGTATATTGTATAATAGATATGTAAGTACATTTTCAAACCGACTTCAAAAATTTGTTCTCGATTTGTCTGTACATTATGGGACATCTTCGTTAATTTTAAAACGATTTCGACATTTTTTTTAATTGGAGGTAAGAAATCAATGAAGTATTATTTTCTTCAATACTTCAATTAAACTAATTTAGCCAATGACTCAACTGACAATATGTAGGTTTGAAAGTATATCATCTTCTTGTTCTTATCTCATATCATTTGGGGTTGACGTTACGTTCTTCTTCCATTCTTTGCAGTCATTCTGGTATTTACTTCTTTTATAGCTATATAATTTTCATACAATCCATGCACCTTTTTTATATCTGCCTCTACTATTATAACCATTCACATCTACAGTTATACTTGGAAACATTCTCCTCATCTATACTCATCACATGACCATACCAAGACAAACGATTACAGCTGCAAGAGAACTGCTTAGCTTGCAATCCAAAAAAATATTACACAGCACACGATTAAAATTTATAAGATAACCTCCTTTTTGGACGTTGCTTTCCAGATTTCAGAAATTTTAACTGACAGATAAAGACAAACCTATCTACGTTCAAATATTGTAGTACTACTGGTACCTTACTCTCAGCGATCAATATTGATAAGAATCTAATAACATTCAATATGAAATTTCAGTTTTAATATACATACTAAATTATAAAATAATTTACTGCCAAACTTTTTATAACTAACGACAAATTTATCTCATTTTTAAGCATTTCAAAATGTTTTTCATCTTTGCCGACTATAACTATTTACGATTACCTACCGGAGTTGACACATTATCGTTTTACATAGTTTATTAACTATCAAATTTTCTAAACCGCTCCATTAGTTTGGCCCCGGCTTTGAGATTCATAATTGACAAAAAGTATAACATAATAAATGAAACAATGACAACTACGTTCTACTTTTAAACAAATAATGTAAAAACCTACGTACATACATACAACAAGTAATATTATTAAAAAAGTAAATATGACATAATCTAAATTTGAATCTTAGTTAGAACATTTAGTATTTCATAAAGTTAGGCTTAACTGAAACATGTGTGCCCACGCACTGCGTAAATGGAATAGGTATCTAACAACGAATAAAGCATTCATAATAATTATAAAAAAAATGCTTTTCTGGCAGAGAACTACAAAAATATATTATTTGTAATTCTGATGTCCCTATGTACAAATTACAAATTATGTAGATAAGTAGGTATCTACACCTACATATGCATCTTAGCCCTCAGGAATGGCAACGCATGGGCGAAACAGTTATATCCATAGTACTGTCTATAGGTGACGGTTGCCACTTTCCATCAGGTGGGCCGCCAGCTTGTTTGCCATTTTAAGTTGCATAAAAAAACATATATACATAATAATATTACTTTTTCTAAACTACAATCGACTGACATTGAATGTATGTGTATGTCAACTAATATGTCGACAAGCGTATTCAGATTCAACGTAAAACATTTAACATCTTAATTAGGTATGTTAACGGTGTTTACCAGCAGTAGCGTTAGACGGATTTTAAAAATTGACATACTTTTGAAATAGGGACACGACCAATTTGGAATGAAAAAGGGCATGGAACAGTGCGTCGTAATCTTAATATACTAGACACATATAGGTAGTTATTATCATTTATATAAAATAATTATAGATTTTTACCAAGTAGGTAAGTACATAATAAACACCCATATACCTAATTTCCAGATAAATCGTAACAAGTAAACAGATAACAGACATAATAAATAAACTAGGTATAAATAAACATAAAAATTATAATGCCATTATTAGTTCTACGTTACATTATTTGATTAATGATAAGTTAGCAAATTTCACAAAACATTTTCAACCATAATTTGAAACGGAAAGAATTTGATTTTATGTAGGTAGTTCTCATTTAGTATGTGCATAAATCTATGAACATGACAAAAAAGTTTATTACAGACAAATTAAAATTCAAGGCAATTCGTATATAATAAATACTTACTCTGATATTAAAATAACATAGACAGTGACTACATAATGAGTGTACCATACGCACTGGACGGCGAAGCGGAGACTGCAGAAAACTGTGACAAAAATTAATATAATACTCTCCGATTAATAATACCAACTAGATAAAGGCCAAATCTAAGAAACAACAGTTAATAAAACGCCTCAATTATACAGAGAGCTCTTATTTTTAATAATTTTTACTACTGTAATTTGCAATTCAAATTCGAATTATAAATCGAATTAAAATTTTGAATTTCTTTTATAGCGAATGTTCAGTTAGACGATGTCTATTGTTGACAATTGTGTTCTATTTTAATTTATGAGGCGTCATTTATCGTAGTTATAATAATTACGTATTATGAATATGGTAGTACGATTTCACTTCGGGAGGCTTTACCTAGACGACATTGTTGATCGAAGATATCGTTATAGTCGTAGAATACTGACGGACCTGACAAATATTATATGACTATGACGTTATGTACTACGTGTCTAAAGATAAAGTAACATTCTATATGCAATGGTATTTGCAAAGTGCAAGATGTATGATAATTGATGATTACATTAAATCAATGTTATAAATAATTCAATAGTTCTTGGTAAACTATATAGTATAGTAATTCCCATACATTTTACACTTTTTCATTACTAACATCACTAATAAAATGTTACTTTGTTTACAGGCTCAAGGATTACTATTCCGATGTCGATTGTTTGCCATGGGCACACCTACGTCGTTTTATATATATAATATACACCATGATATGAAGTCAAAAAAATAAAAATAAAATTAGTAAATCCTTTTTTAAATAGAAGTGCTTTAACTATAATGAAGTAAATTGAACTATTTATTCACAGAGAAAATACAATCAATTAATTGCAAACAAGAAAATAACACGGCAGGTTCACTGACTTATATTCGTCTAGCATTCTGTGGTAATTTTCCTAAAATATGCCATCATGAAAAAAATGCTTCAAATTTTTTTTAAGTTACACAGCTTTCATATTTATTTATACATACAAAGTAGGTATTATTTTTATTTACAGTAAATCGAATTCCGAGATAAGAAAGTAAAATAATGCAGATTACAATGAATGCACAGTTTCCATATACAATATTCAGAGATGGTTTCTCAGTTCAAGCATTTTGTATGCAGTAACCTAAATTTCTTTGGTAACACATAGACACAGGCACTAGGGATGTACATACTTACATCTGCTCTATGGCATAAGGCAGTGATGCTTTTATGCTGAATGGAAACATATTTTTGCCTCTAGATCTATTATTTACAAAGCCAAAAACACATATAAAAATGGAACTTCCATTTTAAAATCGTACCTGTATTCTGTATTAGAAACATCTATTACTAAAACTTGACATTTATTTATATATTTTAAGAACAATGCTCTTGAATTCAAATAATTAAAAACAAAAATTAATTTTGTAATAATAGCTATAATAAAATAAATAAATGGATAAATATACACATAAATTTATTACTCTCTAAACCTAGTTTTTTTTGGTAATAATTATATATTTTTATATACATTTTGTTGTATTATTTATTATACTTATCTATAATTTTACAGAACTAGATGCAATCCTTAACCTCAAGCCAAAGTTACCGTGTTCAATGAATCAAATAATTTACTAGGTAACCACAAAATATTTAACATTGCAGAATGACAAATTGGCAAAGTGCTGATTTAACTCTATTATTTTTAGACAGCCATAGATTTTATAAATCAGGATATGAAATTAATTTTACTTGTCGTCGTTTAAATGTACAAATTGCAATGTAATTAGTTCATTATTTTCTCGCAAATTCGAGGAAAATAATATATATATATACGTAATTTGGCAAGATACAAATTAACAGCCTCTGGCAAATTACAATTTAGTTACAAAAAATCAGTTTTCATTTCAATCATTTTGTTGTCTCAAAATCATTTGTGAAATATGTATTTTAGCTTTGCCTTGTCTTTCCGCTATTATTCGGATGTTAATCGCTTTGTTCATAGACTCGATAGAAATGTATTAAATAGGCGTCTGTACATATCTATATTCATAATTTTATCCTGAGAACAACTTTTGATTAATCAACAGCTGTTTTTAACATCCATTTCTTACAAACTGGTTATAAAATTGCGAATGTAATATATTTTCACATAGATACCTATGTGTGAAGTTATTATGTTATATCTATTATACATTTTCATTAATAAATAACAAAAAAGGTTGTATTTTTTAATACTAAAATATACTTACCTATGTGTGAACAGCGAAAAAAAGAGGTCTATGGCTGACACAACAATCACATATTGCCAATAATCTCACATAGATACTAACAAATAACTTGAAAATTTTTTTTAACACCTGACATGCACAGCGAACTTGTTTATAATTTTGTTCAAGATATTTGTTGTTGTAAACTGTAAATTATGTCGTAAGGGTATTTATATAATCTGTGGTATTCATTGAAATTCGTCATCGGAGCTGAGTAGTGTAGTTTTCTCGTGGTAGTTGGTGGCATGGCTGATGGTGGCAACCCGCTGAGGCAGCGGTCGCGGCGCTAGTGCTGCACCCTCGTCACCGCGCTTCCCCGTCCCTGCACCACCTCGCATCACTATTTTCAATTAGTTTAATTATTTTAGTGATTTGAATGGATTTCACGGTTATAACGGTTAAGTGCGTTTTAACTGTGTTACTCTACATTATGATATATACAGGTGAAATGATTACGAATATATAAAAATCAGTTATTAAAAAAATTACACAATTGGTGAGATAAGTAATTTTGTGTAGTAATTATTTATTGATACGTTAAAATCCCGCCATTTTTTAATTACTAATTTCATAAAAAATAACGTAAAATGTTACTTATAATTAGTAGAAATCAGTAACGGATATTCATCGTTAAAATAAAAATAGTATAAAACATAAAATAGTGTAATTAGTACAGAACAGTTTTATTTTTACTAGTATCAAAAATATACGCTTTTGTGCAAGGAGCTTTCATGTCACGAATATTCTAGTCATAATTAATTAAAACAAATTAAATAATTATTATTAATATATATATTTTGTAAAATATATAAATATTTAATACATACGTTATAAATTATTGTATCGCCTTAAAGCCTACGTTAGTCAGTACTAAAGACAATGGTCTTTTATATCAAAAATTGAACTAAATATTTTTCCTACAGAAAGATGCACGTACCGCAACTTCAGTATTTAGTGCTCTATGACTCGGGTGCAAGTGTGATCATACTGTGGCGACGTACTTCATAGTCTAACAAAATAGCATAACCTAATAAAATAGTATTTAGCTATATTGACATTTAGCTGACTCAATGTGACGCATTAATAGTTGTAGCACTTCAGCTGCCCGCTAACGAAATGCTTTCTTACTGTACTGGGTTGACTGGAAGAGATCTCTGTCAGAGATAAGTCCACCCTTGCTCACAACATTTATAAATAGATTATTTTATATGTAACTTACAAGTGCAATAAAGAATATATATAAATCTAAGATTTAAATCAAAATAATAAGAGCTATTTTTTGTGTTGCAAGTAATTTGAATTGAGAAATACTTCTTCCGATTTTAAAACCATATTAAAAAAATATATTCCATTGTTAGCCTAAGAACAAAAATTAAAATTAATTTTTTTGTTTATAGATTAATAATATTAATGAAGCCATTTCTAAGTCAAACTTTTTCTGACATGAATAATAGTTGCATACAATGAAAAATTTTACTAAGTTTAAGTCATAATAATGTATGAAATGCAGTGAATACATATGCAAAATTAAATATGATTACTTATTTATTTGTAATATACTCATACAATTTACAGACATGAAAGCATGCTAGCAAACAAATCATAAAAAGCTGGTCATTCCGTTTTAAACTTACCTTTCAACACACTTTGTAATCCCCTTGTGTTCGGTGAATATTTTAAGTAGATGGAAATATTTTACTATATAAAAAATATAATTATCATGTTATTTTAGCACGACGTTGCTTTTTGTAGTTTGTAGGATATATCTTGTTTTATTTAAATGTATAATATATAGATGCTATAAAAATAAAAGCACTATATTGTATATATATAAAATCATTTATTTATTAGTGAGAGGCCAAGTACAAGGTGTTTTAAATTCGTTATCTAAACCAGAACTAAACTTAATTAAATTATCACTAAATATATTGAAGTGCAAACAATGGGGGCAGTATGTGGTAAATTCGTTACCAGGTACATTGTTCAGAATCTTTATATTTTTTAGGAAATAAGGATAACAGAACCTTAACTGATTTCTTTTAACCTCCGTCTTAAAATACCCCCAGTCTAACACATCATCTGAAAACTTAATTATATTAACTTTTTTTTTTAAATAAATGTTACAAAACATACACTAATAAATAATTATATACATTAATATTGCAAGATTGAAAAAAAAAATGCAATTGGCCTTACAGGTTGCTAATAGCAAGGTTCAGTAAAAAAATATGTATTTTTATAAAACACTGTTAGGTACCTACACGTATCAAAAAGCGCATGTACATTATTCGCCTCGACATTTTGTATCGTGTTGTCAAACGAAGGAACATAAAATGCCGCTCTTTGGTTTTGCAATAAATATATAATATGAACAAAAGTATATGAAACATACTATTATGTTTAATAAAAAAGAATAACAACCTGATAAATGCCCTTACAGGTTACGAAATCATAATTTAGGTTAGTAAATATTGAATTATCTAGCATTCGTCTAAAGGATTTCATCCACTAACTATAAGACAAATAACAAAAATTATACAAAAAGAAAGAATAAAATCACAGAAAATGAAACATTTACATAGGTACTTGTAACGTATAACTAAACCGATAAATGGCATGGTCCACAACCGTTAAATTCTGGAGTTTTTTTTCTATTTCCGGCAATGGCCACATTATTAACGTATTTCGTCGAATATTCGTTATTATAAAATCTAAGTTTACTTCCCGATTCATTATAAGACTAATAATCTCAGTATTATTATCAATTTTGGAGAAATACTCGATTGCCTTAAACACTTGTTTGTAGCATTCCTCTTTTTCAGTAGTACTCTACAATAATTTCGTTCAAGTTATAAAAATTATTAAGTTACAAATTCCAATTGGACCAAAACTATTACCGGTAATTATTAACATACAAAATACTTAACTATTACACATATGGCAATGAATAGTCCGAACAGCTGTTATAATTTTTTTTTTTCTACATTTTCTGTATGTTTTGAATAAAATAAAAAAAAAAAAAAAAAAACTATAGAGCATTATCCAAAACAAAAGACAAAATGTATTAATGTATTTTTATGAATACTACTAAGGTAGCAAATATGATGATGGCATGTATGTTTGTAATAATGCGGGTCCCACGTACGCTTTCCTCTAAAGGATTTATTTTAATAAATCATACATATTGCATATTTTTATATAAATAACAGTTAATGAGTTTTATGATGATAAACAATACATTGCAGTAAATTGACTGGTTGTATGTTTATTCGCTCGCAATTGACTCCGATTATTTAATTTGATTTTGGAACTGTTGATGCAATAAGAAGTGAGAGGGGATGATATAGACGTATCTATTCCAAAGAACAGCAACGAAAGTTTACTGTAATAACTTAGGAGCATCGTGATCGGTAAACCGACTCACAGTGAGGTCGTGAGAAAACTGCGCTCAATGATGTGTCTTGAGAGAGATAAACCTGCAGTGTCTTGATTACGATCGTTCATGAGCCCAATAACCCAATCTAAACACTGATCCGATAAATTTTTCCTGCCACGTTAAATTCGAATAAATTTGGAAAATTCTATATTAGAGGGGGAAAAATACAGCGCAACGTTGATTTGTGCACTCCAGGGCAAAGAATATGAAATAGCTGGTGTACCACAGTTTACTACTGTGTTATACTGCATAAACAATAGTTTTGCTTTTAGTGAAAGTTGAGTTACTTATTTGTAGTGAGGTTATTGATGTAAGTTGATCCGACATGTTAAATGTATTCATACAAGCAACGAACCGTTACTATGTATATTAAGTATTTATCAATGATTTTATACTTTATCTTCAATCAAACCGACTTCAATACATTTACAAAAAGAATTTGAATAATGCTCTCAAGTTTAAGAATTTATAGAAAAATTAAATAATTGTTATCATTTTATCAAGTCATTGATACGATGTTAAATGGCATATTATCGTATTTTTTATTATATTTCGGACTAGCCAAATACCTTGATATTAAAAATAATAATGCAAATAAAGAAAAAACTCTTAATTAACGAACAGTTCGAGGCCGAGCACCGAAAACCAAATTATAAATTGTGTGTATAATATTTTAATATTTTATTATTTGTTACAAGGCACGAACCAGTATTTCACTAAAACAAATAATTTGCTAAAAAATAAAAACCTTAATTTGATAAACTATGCACTGAACAATTAGTTTAATTTGATGACTTAATATATGCGATGTATTTTAAATCATTGTTAGTCGTGTTTCCATGCTCGGGCGTTATGGATAGTTTATTATGTACGTAACGAACATCAATGCACTTCATGCAGAGCACAGCTATGGCAGAGCTTATAGTTTTTCATAAGGCAGTTGAGAAGTAACATCTGAAAGAAAGTAAAATAAACAAAAATAAGAGCGTCCTAACTACTGGAGTTGTTTATATAGTACAAAATTTTGAATATTTATTTTTAAACAGCAGAATTTTTTTGTAAAAATGTCGTGTGTAAATAAAGATAAAAGAAAAATAGAAATATCGTTGGGTTTGATTTTTTTGGAATTTTGCCTAATTAACTAGGGCTAAGGTAGAACGCAGACAGTCGACGTTTTATGTCACATTTTTGTGATTGTAATAAAAATGATTCATATCAAAATATTAGATATAAAAAAAAAGAAAATAACAAATAATAATACCCGCATCTTTCACCTATCTGGACTGAATGTGTTTCCAATAAGAAAACACAAGAAAAGAAAAAAATAGACAAATTTCTTCACCTCTTCGATTGTGGTCGTACAAATTATATTGTTTTTGTTATATTCTGTAGAACAGAATAGACTATAACCATAGTTACTATCAGAGAATTTCTCGACACAGTGAAATAGTAATGAATATCTATATATTACATAATATTCAATGTTTTTAGTCTTGTATATATGTATGTATAAACAGGGATGCGGATACTGATTGAAGCGGTTTAGATTTAAATATCTTCACTATTTATTTATTTACATATTATATCCTTTGCATGAGTATTGATTACGAATGTTTACCCAAATAGCAAAATTACTAATGCAATGCTGATTTTTGAGTCATTACAGCCTTAAAAATTTAGGCTCCTCCTTAATTACAAGGAGGGGGCCGGATGGATTCTGCCCACTCCAATATTGGTGACCCACTCCGAGATGCGAAAGGAACCTATAAATATAGGCATGTTTAAAAGTAGATAAGCGCCTATTTAAGGGGGCAGATCACCGCTGGAAAATAAACAGGTATATGCTTATATGTGTACATTTATAGAACTTATAGAATCTGACGTCTGCGCTCCCTCTTAGTACAGCAATTCCTAAGGTCAGCAAACAAAATGTGAGCAGGCAGCAAATGAGGTCATGCACAACCATGTCAACGCAAACTACTATTTGATACTTACCAGAGCTGTATTGAGTGTACTGTTGGTACTGCGGATGGAAATTGTGGAACGCGTCCGTCATTATGTCCTTGGGGTTCATCGTCTCCTGAAGATACCAAATACGGACTTTGTATTAATTGCCATTTAAAGTAATTATTCAGTGACAGAACAAAAAGTGACGTCGTAAATTAATTAGACTAATACAATTTTATTTGCACGTAACGGAAAGAGACAACCAAGTGCCAATGGTTTCTATTACTGCGGCCAATTTCCATTAAATAACAAGTCAATCTCAATCTCGATATAAAGTGATTAATTTATCAGAAGGAAATTTCATACAGTACCCGTGTGTCAATCGTGTTTCTAAGGCCAATTAGGTAAGCTTGCATAACTGTGTTTCAGTTTGACGGATGGAGAAGGAAGTGAAATTATAGGGTATGGAGGTATTATAGTTATCCTGGCATGTTCTGGGGTGTCTTACTGCGGATAATAAGTTTATGTACCCATTATTAAAAAAAAAAAGTCAAACCTTATTTTAGCTGTTGAAATGTTTTGTCTTTTTCTTTCACGCTAATTTTTCAATTTGAAAGGCAATAATAAAACTCACTAATAGTTGAAATAGGTTTGTAGCACAATTTAGTTGTTATGAACAAGAGAGAGAAAGTATAAAGCATGTACTATCAAGCTACCTTGAGGATCGAGAATTAGAGGGTCACGGACATCAAATGGCATTAATATGAGCGTATGTTACCTTGAGGCTACTGGAGATGGACTGCATGGTGACCGAGCGGTGGGGGTCGCGGCGTGCGAGTGCGTACGCAGCGGCCGGGAAAGCGTATCGTAACGCCACCGCGGCTGCTAACATCTCGATGCAGATCAGGAAGTTCTGGTAACCAGCGGACACGGTACCCGCTGACGTTGGTTGTTCATTCTCGCCCATTATCGGCGAGATCACTTCTGCCTTCTCAAGAATGGCAAGGGCTACGCCTGCATACAATAATTTGTAGATAATATTAAAAAGCTATTGGCAATGTGAGTCCCGGCATAGAATAGGCCACCCCATCCTTTCCCGTGGGTGTCATAAGAATCAACTAAGGACGAAAGTTGGTCAGCAGCGTCCTTATTAAAATATCTCTAAAGCCTGACTGCGGTTGCCAATCCGCCTGCCATGCGTGGCAACAAATGGCAAACCCCCAAAGGGAAAAGCTTATGTTCAGCAGTGGACAGATTTAGGCTGATATGATGATTAAAAAGATATATTTGAAATTTTAAAATAGTTGAATACGAGTTCTATATATATGATGTAAGACAAATTTATTACCTCAATCCTATTACCCAAAATGGCTAAACAGTTATCGAAATAGCATAATAACTTCTCATGGTAATGCAAGTGTCAAAGCCAAAAAGAGCAAAAGCTCTTCTAAATATAATGTCTTCAAAATTTAAGTATACGGTTCAAGTGGCTCTCTATCCGTCTTCGTGGAAACTGGCACATCCTTTCCCTTCTTTACTCAATTCTCTTTAATCCAGTTACACCCCATTATTTAAAAGAACGTTTTATGTTTCTTGGAGAGAGCAATTCTAATTCTTATTCTTTACGTAGTACTGACAACCTCCAACTCATAATTCCTATTCATTCTTCCTCTTTCTACTCCAAATCCTTTTCCGTGCAAGCAGTTCGTTTGTGGAACTCACTCCCTACCTCTATACGATGCGCTCAATCGTTGCCCATTTTTAAAAACTTAGTTAAATCCCACTACCTATCCTTATAATCACTTAGTCCTATGTATTTCCAGTTTCATGTGTGTTATATATATGTGTATTAGTATGGTATATTTGTATGTATTTGTCCGTATATATATATGTATATATACTTATGTGTGTATGTATATATATGTATATGTTTGGATGTATGTGTTTATTTATGTATGTGTATATGACTATGCTGTCACAGATATTATTTTTTACAAATCTATTTTTTTTAACGCGCCACCTACCTATTTATGCTTTAATTCTTTCTACCCAAAGGTTGTCTGGAAGAGATTGCTTAGCAATAAGACCGCCTTTTGTACTACACTATACGTATTGAACATTGTTTAACAAATCATGTTATGTTGATGCAATAAAGTGTTAAATAAATAAATAATCTTTAAGAATATATAATAAGATAATAAGATAAATTACCTTGCCAAAACGAGAGGAAGATAACGGATTTGACTGTGAAGAACTTGAGCACTGGGTCGAAGGGTTTAAGCATCTCTCTGGTGGCGCCGAGGAACAAGAACAGCCCGTAGAGCGCCAGGCTCACGGAGAAGTTGTACACGATTGTTATGTAGATATACCCTCCGCTAATACTCCAGTCGCCGTCGTGATATTTTCCAGCAGCCTATAACAAAGTTTTAAGTGAATAACTATTCAACTAACCGGCTATATTTTTGGTCAAAGATCTAGAAAGTATTTAGCACTAATAATTTATAACAATATACCATGTGATATAAAAGAGAGGACAACAAAAAAATACCCAGCCAAGTGCGAGTCACAGTCAGCGAATCGTAGATTCAGTGCGAATTATAAATAAAAAAATAAAAAAATTTCTTATGTAACTATATATTTACGATTATCGGATTTTTTTCCGTTACTTATAGTTACGGAAAAAAGTTAGTTCATATATCATCATCGTTTATATCGACATTATTTCTTACCAAATTTCAAGATTCTAGCTCAATGTAAAATAGACTATAGGCTTGATTCCTTTGCAAATATCAAAAAGGCTTCAAGTCTTCAAGGGATTGCAGACTTGAATACTTAATACTAATTTCAGTTTGTTACCTCCCATGCGTTCCTCCACAGTTTATAATTATATTTAGTAGATTTGATACATCTTATCATTTGAATATCGTATACACTATAATATGAAATTAATTAAGTATATATTATCTATGAAATAAATATCATATTGCTGATTTGGTTCTACACCAGATAAGGTATAAGTATCTTCGTCACGTTCTAATTATCGACGTATCAGAAAGAAATTACATTGAGACTGTAACAAAATGTTATAATAAAAACATATTAATATAATTTAAATTTTGTTCCATAAAAAAAAGTATATCAATAGACTAAATTAGAAATATAGACGGGAGTAAATCCTAACTATTATGAATAATGTCATGAAAGTAAGTTCACAATTCGATACGTGAAGATAACAAAACTTTTTTAAATTTTTTAAATATCTTATTTATTCACTTATACTACTTCATGTCAGCGCCCGTAGGATAAGCAGATAGTCAAATCCATACGATCGCGTTCCTTATATAAATTACTAAAATAATAATAAAAAAAGAAAATAATATGAAGTACAAATATAAAATTAACTTTACGGCAAAAAAAAAATAATTAAAAGATAGTTTCTAATTAAAAATAGTCCTTTACCTGTAGGAATATGATGATGAACGCACAAAGGGGCTTGATAAGGCAAAACTGTAAGGTGGCCTGTTTGCAGAAGCGCAGGAATCCAATGGTATAGGTGGCGCCTGAGAGGCAACACGTTCCATTGACACACGAGGCACGGACGGGCCGCCCTCGCAGCTCTGACATTATGTTCCCTTCGCCGCCGAGATACTCGTAGCAAAGTGACAGGAAACTGTAGATTACGAAGGCTGAAACAGACGGGTTTAATTTTATTTTTTTATAATTATACTAACCACCTAATCCTTAAGACATTCTATGGTATGAGAAGCCAGGTAACAAACTTCTGTGAACACAACAACCTAATATACCCCGAATCGAACCAATTTTGAAATGGCTCGATCGACAATCGAATCCGGGACCTCATTGCGTAAAGCAGTGTGCCAACCGCTGTGTCATGGGTTTATTTGTTCTTTACAAAATTATATTTTTATTAATTTAAACATGAAATATAAATTATAAGTAAGGAAGGTTATAGAGCTATTAAAAGTAGTCAATTCTTAAATGTTGGCAGTCGCATGTATACTAACGGCAGTAGAATAAAATAAAATAATTCTAATAAACGATTAAAATTATTAAAAAAGTATGCTACCAATGTTATTGAATATTTTCACACAGAACTTAATTCAAAAAGGAATAAAAAATTATAACAATGTACAGATATCTTTGGAATGTTAGTAAGTTTAAGGTACCGTTGAAGATATAGTAAATAAACTGATTAGATACAGGATCATAATCTACAACTAAATCTCGAAAAAACAGAAATAATGAAATTTTGATTTTATAAGACAACCATAAATATTAAATTTTCATTTAAAGAAAAAACAAAAGATTCGTAAATTTTTGCATACTATTTAGATGTTGAAATTGATACAAATATTAATTGGAAAGTGCATGTAGTCAAAATAACTATGGAATTGTCTAAATTTACATACACATGCATTATTCGAGTTAAAAAGATCAACAATCTTTAAAACAGCAAAATGCGCACATTAAATTTATTGGCCAAACTATGGAGTAATAATATGGAGCAATAGTACAAACGTGAATGACCTTTTTGTATTACAAAAGAAATGTGTTAGAATATTGATAAATATAATACTAGTGTTAGAATATTGATAAATACTAAAACATTATTGTAAATTTGTGTAATGGGGATAGATTAGCCCTACCACCCAATAAATTACATACTGTAGGCTCAGACATATCTTCCATTATATTATACATTAAAAGTGATCACAAAATCTAAATATCTTCTTTCTCTTCTTTGCAATATTATTGTAATAAAAATAAATAATTTAAGTAATTACATATTTCCACATATTATGATTTTTATATAGATAATGCTGTGTAGATCTTTAACTGGTGTACATATATTATCATGTTTATATTAAGTGTTATATTCTAACGAACTATATGTAACAATTTCGATGTACTGATAAATAAATAAATAAAATAAATTATTAACTATGATGATAATTATTAATGTAATTTGCAACACCCTAACAGGATTCATGTACAGAATAATTAATGTATTCAACAAATTTATAAACACATGATGCCCTAGCTTTGGCCGGGACATATTTACTGAGCGCGATAAAAAGTAGCCTTCATCCCATATAGTACAGATTGTTGTCATCCATCTTAGTTGGAACCACGGCCGTTGGGGTTGCTTAACTTGCATTAACTCCACGACCTCTAAGCAATAACTCACTACTCATTGTATTATATACTTAATAATTACGTACCTAATACATCACAAAGTTTCAGCAATTTAACTGATCGGTTATTTTATAGGATTTTAAGAGCGATTCTTTACACATAATTTTATTTATGAACCAATTGAAATAAAATAAACACTAAATGTTAAGTAGAGCAAATATTATTCTAAAAATCATTTGTTTTGGATTCTGCTGAATTCATAAAGGCCCCCTATAATAGTTTTTTTTTTTTTATACAACTTAGAATGGTAAACAAGCTGACGGCCCACCTGATGGAAAGTGGTAACCGTCGCCTATAGACATGAGCAGTACCATGGACATAACAGAGTATACTATTTTGTATGATATGCGTTGCCATTCCTGAGGACTCAGGTGTTATTCTTCCGTACCCAGTAAATTCACGCCACAGACAGCAGTACAGACAGCGACCACTTACAATTTTATTATATGTATTGATAAATAAACAATTAATTGTGCTGTATTTATGATAAAGATACGTACCTTCATAGCAATCCCTGACAGTGAAAAAGTAGACATAATAAGAGTTTCCATTGAAAAAGAGCAGCGAGATCCAACTGTAGCAGCCGTAGATGGGTACGATGAACAGTATACGGACTATCCAGCGCTGCTCAGATGGGTTTGTATACCAGCGTAGATGCTGGTAGATCTGCAATGAACAATGAATTTTTAGTCAGATGATTTTCGTTACTTTTATTTAACTGTATAGCATGGGGGAGATTTTTAGTAATGGGTACTATTAGCCCCACTGCTAGCAATATACCCTGTCAGGTCAACCTCCTCGAGGTCCCCGCTGGAAATAATCATGCTGAAAGATGTATTCATCATAATGGGCTAATTGACCTGCCACTTCAGTTTCGCTTATCATCCCTCACTGGTGCCCTGCCAGCGTAGTCAGAGCTCGGCGTGAAGATAGATGGATTATTCTAAATGCAATGCACTTATTTTTCGTCGTAAATAATAAAAAAAATATTGCTATTGCCGTTAGGTCATTAGTTCATTTCAGTACAACATTTCGTACGCGTGGAAATCCATGTATTAGTCTACGAAGTAACGGACAAAAAGATAGATAGATAATTTATTTACATTACTTACAGCACACAAATTACAATTAAAAAAAAAACATGCACATAATACACAGAATATAAACTAACAATTTCCTTTCTTTCATTTCCTTCATGCGTGTGCCATAGTAACACAAAATGGTCACAACTCAGTTTATTGCTTTGCCCTTAAAAGAGCAAAACATTGATATTCTGTTGTGGCCAAGAGTCATCTAATCATCAGTTAATAGGAAAACCAATAGAATATACCACTTCTAGATGGCGTATCCAGATATAGAAATATTAATTGGAAAGTGCATGTAGTCAAAATAACTATGGAATTGTCTAAATTTACATACACATGCATTATTCGAGTTAAAAAGATCAACAATCTTTAAAACAGCAAAATGCGCACATTAAATTTATTGGCCAAACTATGGAGTAATAATATGGAGCAATAGTACAAACGTGAATGACCTTTTTGTATTACAAAAGAAATGTGTTAGAATATTGATAAATATAATACTAGTGTTAGAATATTGATAAATACTAAAACATTAATGTAAATTTGTGTAATGGGGATAGATTAGCCCTACCACCCAATAAATTACATACTGTAGGCTCAGACATATCTTCCATTATATTATACATTAAAAGTGATCACAAAATCTAAATATCTTCTTTCTCTTCTTTGCAATATTATTGTAATAAAAATTGTTTTGGCCAAGAGTCATCTAATCATCAGTTAATAGGAAAACCAATAGAATATACCACTTCTAGATGGCGTATCCAGATATAGAAATATCAGTTTCTAAGTTAGATCTATAGAAATACAACTGTAAAAATAGCATTCAATTTGGTGCAGTAATTTTTACATGATGCCGAAACAAACAGACAGACAAAATATCTAAATATTATTGTTATGATGTCTATTGGTCTTATCAAGACACCTCATATTTTTTTTAAATATGTCTCATGTACAAATAAATTTATAACTAGACAGTTATTATTTTATTGTAATAATAAGATAATCAATGTACTTATTTTTCGTCGTAAATAACAAAAAAAATCATCGCTGTTACCGTTAGGTTATTAGTCATTATATTAAAGATAAGGAGTGCCAGTGAGCATGACGTCAGCGTTTACTCATCAATTTATATTTACAAATAATCTGCTTCTAAGACATTGCCTTATTTAAATAAACAAGTATATGCATTATGTTTATAAACGTCTAGTGAATATTTTTGAATGTTGCAATTGGTATGTAGAACACTTATTTATTACCATCATTTTTGTATAAATAATTGTTAAGAAACAATTTATTGACATTCCCAGAAGTATAAGTTTCTTATATAATAACTAGCGGTGCGGCCAGGCTTTGCACAGATAGAATTTTCGCTTACTCGTTGATAATGTACTTTTCTATAGGATAAAGATTTGTTAAAATCGGTTAAGTAGTTATTGAGTTTATCCACTATAAACAGACAAATAATCAAATCTTTCCTGTATATAATATTAGTATAAATAACAAGGTACATAATTATACCAGTTGTTAATTGTCCATTGCTGGAGATCTCCCCCATGGGGGGGGGGGGATGGGGGTTTGGCAATAGTTGCTACGATTGGCTTGGGTTGACAACCGCAGTTAGGCTTTTGGTGATATTTTAAGAGGGACACTGTTGCCCATTCCTCAATCGTTAAATCCCTTTAGTTGCCTCTTACAATATCCACGGTTAGGAATGGATGGCCCATTCTATGACGAGACCACAGGGCGGGCGAGCACAAGATACATAGATAGTATAAAAATAGCTTGCATTTTTTCATCAAGTATTAAAAGCATAACTTGTAGTATTAAATGAGCCTAGCCTATTAATTTACTATGATAGCATAGTCGATTAATGAGTTAATTAATTAGTTGTTTTGGAATGAAAATATAACAATATGTAAAACATTAAACTACCGTAAAATGGTCATGACTACAAATGCTATTGTATAAAATATTTATACATACATACATATCTGTCCGGCCTTTTTTATTTTATTAGAAAATGAATGTTTACTAATGGAAGAGATCGATTGCCAACGAGAATAGCGTTTATTTGAAGGTAAGAGCTTCAATCGAATTATACGTAAACTTAGCATGTTGTGGTGGCCTAGAGGCAAATAGGCAATTTCCGAGCAGGCGTGGTGTATAATTTTTAGCGTATTCTTACAATCTTATTTAAGAATACGAAACGATTTTAACTTGTAGTTCTGAAAGTAGCGTACCAGCCAAAACGTATTTACAGAATTATTTGGACTGCTTTTAAAGTTTTCAATGCGCCCGTTAACGATGTTTGAACCCTGAGTAAACATGAAACAGAATACTGTAGGTAGTACCTAAGTAGCGCGGCGCTGATAAGAGTCCGATAATACACAAACGAATTGCTATTTGTAATTCATCATTTGGGCCGCAATGCTGTAGCGTGTAAAACAACAGGTGGTTGGCTACACCCGCATACTCTAACTACCAGTAATACCTAGCTGTAAACAAAATATTAAAACAAAGTTCTAGAACTCATTTATACAGATAAATGTTATTTGCGTAATATTGAAACTCTATTATAGGATTAAAGAAATACTCGTAATTTAAAGGAAACAAATAAAAATTTGGTTAAAAAAAAGAAGCACCGTTGTCGAATGTGTTCCACTTAACCTTGAGTATCTGGCTTTCATTGGCATACGAGTATTCTATGATTCTATATGCGATTTACAAATACCATAAAAATTACCCAAAGTTCTTCACAGCGATTTTATTTTTGTCTAAAAATTTCTCCAACGTATAACGAATTCATTTCTCTAATTAAATAAAAATTGATACTTCTTATTCATGATGTTTTTTTTTTTTATAGTTTAAAAGTGGCATACAACCCGTCTGATGGTAAACGGTTACTGTAGCCTATGGACGCCAGTAATACTGTGGGGTGTCACGTGCTCGTTTCGAACCTGAAGAAATCTTAATCCTTTACCTACACGAAGAACCCCATACTGTAGTGTCCAGGGAAAATATTGGTAGAGAGTTCATCCCGAGATTCCGCGACAGCCTGAGCGTGACCATTTAGGGTCAAGCGTGTGAGGATGAATTGTTCAAATGAATGATAAATGTAAATGAAATTATTTATTTAATTAATTTTAATCATTTCTCATACTTCGTTATCGCTGAAAATAAACGCATATACATACAGAAGGCATTTCGGGAGTATACAACTATGTACACTAAGACAAATTCAAATATTTACGAGTATAACTACAATAATAAAAAGCGAATGACTTTTCTGAGTAAAAAATGAGATGTTAACATCAACACAAACACAATAACACTTTACACGGAATGAAACAATGATTCATTAACACAAACTATAATTGAATTTTTCATTTCATTTCTTCATAGCAAGTTTTAAATGAAGTTTTTATTGCATTATTCAAGTTACTGTTACACAAGCAGAATGTATATTAATCGTAATAAAATTAGTATGGGACCAAAATAGGAATAAAATTCTATGGATTGTAAAATGAAATTAACACAAAATAAAAATGGTCAATTTAATCGTTATATATATATACATATACATATATATATATTTACACAAAGGCGATGCTATACTATGTTCAGTAGAAACTCTATCTATTCATAATTCACGAGAAAGGTAAAATGTTGATAACTTAAGATGCTTCACACAGAAAAACACGAGATCAATTACATATGGTAAATCTTATCAAGTACAAAAAAAAAATCGAACATATTTTTTTTGGAGTCATTTAAAAAAACGATTTAATCTAATAGAAAACTAGAACAAATAATTTGTAAGTAGATAATAATTTACAATAACATTAAACTAACACTACATTTATCTGTGATTTTATTCATATAAAAAAAAAATATCAAATCTAAGGATAAAATTTTAATGTAATATACTAAAATTTTTTAGTAATGGCTGAGATGATGATTACAAAATTCATCAAAATTAATTGTTTGTGATATTTTTTGTCATACATAGATATAGTTTATATTAAACTATATCTAAATATTATACATGATATTACGAATAATTTATTCATTGTTACGATCAACAAAAAATACAACTTTTGCATATAGAATAAATTAAATATTAACCTTTAAAAAACTGGATCCGTCTATATGTTGACTACAAAAGGTGGTTAATGGACATTTTACTACAACAAATGGTTACACACGCATGCGAGAGGCAAAAAATAGTGGAGTACTTAGCGATAAATGGTTGCCAAGATTTCTTTATGCGTTGTAGACTTTCCATCAACCAGCAAATGTGAAAATAACGGTAAAAAATACTGCATGTGGCTTTGAAGGCCACAAGACAACTAGAATATGTTATTGCACGAATTAATGACTAAATAATTTGAATATTTATTATGTGACGTAAATATGCTGTGTTCTCATCAATGTCATCACAATTGATTGCATCATCTTTCAAAATTATTTGACAGTGAACTAATTTTTAAATGTCCCTATAAACTATTTTGAACAAAATGGCTACTCGAAGAGTGATACGAGATTATATTAGTGTATAAACTTTATGTAACTACATAGTAGGTACTATGTAATAACTACAACCCGTAACAAACACTGGTAAATGTTACACAAGAATTAATTAAGACATTCAAATTAAAGACCGTCCTTTCCAAATTCCAACATTTTTCATTCGCTAAAACTGACCAGAGAGACCCCGAGTCCGTAAGTGGGTCATGAATGGGTAGTTAAAGTAAGAATATAATCATGCCGTGTCGTGCTACGGTAAATTATAAAAAATACATCTTCGATCTAAGTTTGAATTCCGATTCAAAGCTCCAGGGAACTACATTAGCTTTCCGCATAAGCGCAAGTTTGTTACCAAATTAATCGACATTTCAGTTTATCATACTAGTTCACCATAATTATTGAATTAGCGAGTTATTTTTTATATACAGGGAAGGTATAACTATTAATAACAATTAGTAGATATACCTTCTCAGAGCAAGTCTCACAAACATTAAGTTTTCTTTATCTTCATTGAACATAAATTCACGATGATCCCAAATTATTATTTTTTTAATTAATGTATAGATATTGAATGGTGTAGCCGCCTAATTTAATGTTATAAAACTCTAGTGGGGCACCCGTTGATGATAAAATGACGAGGACGAAGTCAGCTCCGTTCGTCCATTGTGGCAAATCCGCTGTGAATTAACCACGACCTAAATGACATTTAGGCCCCAAATATTAGTTGAATATATCTATACTCAGGCTGCGACACGAGTTTTCTTCTAAACAAACGCAATCAATAGATCGGGGCCAATTATAATCAATACCAAACTTCCAGTGTTCTCATACATATTATAGGACATATTATGAAATATTCTAGGATACTAAGATAAAAATAATGGAATCATACGATAGATATAAAATAAAAGCGATTTCACCACATAATTCCTAATCTACATAATACATTTTCTGATATTAAGTGTGCGTCCATAGCTTTATAATATGTTAGATTGATTGAGATATGAACTTTATCTAGTGTGGTATCATATCTATTATAGTACTACCTCCTTATTCATTAAAACATCAAATAATTCATAAATTTACTGTAACTATTGAAGTATTTTGTGCTTTTCTTTTGCGCTAAATTTTCATTTCGAAAGACGGTGACAAAATACTTTAATAGTTAAAATATGTTTGTAGGACGTTTTAGTTTTTATGAATAAAGGGACTAGTCTATTACAGTATAACACACATACAACGGATGTATAGTGGCTACGAATGATCAACAAACTAACATTAATAAGTGAATAATAAATAAAAAGAAAATTATAATTGGGTATTTTAGGCAGCTTAGTTCTGTAATACAGCGATCTTATGGTACATTATAATAATATAGGATATTATAATGTTCATCGGATTCTAGAGGTCTCTGCCAGTTTGTGACAGTGACGACTATGACATAAATATATTCAGACTGACTTTGGTATAATAAGTCGCAGGGTTTCTTTTCTTTCCGTTATCAGAATCTAAATACACTTCGATATCTACGTCTATATCATATAAGCATGTCAAAACTATGGCTAATGTCAGAACTTATACGAAATTTATTTTTTGTTGTTTCACTTGAACTATTTTATAACAGTGGAGAGCTTTCATAACAAATCTAACAATATTAGAATGTTCAAAATCCATCTAGCAGTATAAATCAGGAGGAAAACATTGGAAAAAACAAAGGAAAAAATTGTAGTTCAGTAAGAGGTATCAAATAGATCACTCTTACATACCTGTTGGCAAGTAATGAAGAGCGCTGTCCACACAAATATTCCTGCGATGACCTGCGCTGTGCGTGTTTGTAGGAACACCGGTTCCTGAAGTGGCTTAAACATTTCGTGGACAACCTCAGCTATCGGCTGAGCCGTCACATCGATCGTTTCCGTCGAACTCATCCTGCAATATATAATAGATATTAAACATATTCTGGGTTCAATCGAGGGTAAAACGCAAGGGTAAATGCCCAGAGAGGTAAAAATAAGGGGCAGCAATTATTATTTTTCCCAGAAGTACAAAATTACTAGATGAAGAATTATAGTAACAAATAGCAAAACATACTTATTAGACACACTAGTAAACGGAGACTGTACAAACTACCTACGTAAATGGCATTAAGTTAATTCTATATTGCCTTTTAATTTTGCCAATAAACAACTCACATTTTAATTACATTTGTCTTCCGATTTGAAGGGTAAAATTTGGTAGTGATATTACACGATGGGTACCGTGAGTCAAGATCGTCATATCAATTAGATCGGCAGGGGGGAAAGGGATTGTTAGTAATGGGATCTAACTGACCCATTACTAGCAATACACCCTATCAGATCGACCTCCACACGGTTCCCCCTGGACATTACGTTGTTTATTCTAGTGGAATACGTCATGATAGGCCAATTGACCTGCTTTCATCGTTACCTATCATTCCTCACTGGTGCCCTGCCAGCGTATACCGATAGCGCGGACGGGGTTACTATTCCATTATCACCCATTAAAAAAAAAATTGATCGGCAGCATGTGAGTAACGCCTCCGGTTGCAAACATTCATGACCTATGGTCGCTAATCATCAGGCGATACGTATGTTACTACCGTGTTAATATATTTTAGCTACAAATCAAAATATATTTTATTGTGTTGACATAAAATTCTATTTGGTTACCATTTGTACAGTATAAGATAGGCGATAGTTTAATCTTTCCTACGCAATAGTGGTTTGCGAACAGATTGTTCAGGCTGTAACTAATATATTTCTCACGTATAGCAGAAAATGCACGTAATGACTCGTTTCATACAATTCATTCTTACATGTTTGTTTTATACTATTTATCACTTTAACATACAACATTCGGAATATCGATTTTCACCTGTACAAACATCTCGCGACATGTCGTACCTATGTGTGACATAGAATCCTATAATTTTTCATAAATAAATCTTCAAATAAAAATTCAAAGAAGTTTTATTACTACAAACAAAAGATTACACTAAATTATGTTGAGCATGTTTTTAAGTTAAGATTTGATGATCAGCATTAACAAAATATTTGATACAGCAATTAATTACTTTTAAATACTGGTCCTCATTCATATCAATGTTATTTTAGCGTGACGTTAGTATATCGTGTTTCAAGAGAGAGACAAGAACATATTAAGTATATATAGAAAATATAACGTTATGGATAATTGCACGTACATATTCATAGCAAATTATTTTCAAGTAATTGAGGATTTAGATAGGGTAGTTTAAATAACTTTTTGTTGTGTGTGATAATGAAGAGATTTAACATTTTACATATTACAGGTACCTGTAGTGTGTAAAATATCATACATTGAATGAATGTAAAAGATGTAAAATAAAATTTGCTTCCTCATTGATATTATACATATAAGAGTTTATTTGTTTATCAGTTCTTAGAGTCTTAATAAGACAAACAAATCTTATTTCATACTTGTACACAGGGATATATATGGGATATATATTGGATGAAGAATATTGGATGGGAAATAGGATACTTTTTATCCCAGTAAGTGAACATATCCTGATTATGTGGAGAAAGTCGCAGGTAAAAGTTGGTAATAAAATAAATATTATAATTTAAAAAATATTTATTTGCCAGTTTACTATTAACATTCATTGAGAATGTGGTAAAATAAAAAAGGGATAAACAAACATGAAACCTGTAAAGATAACAACAAACAATAACAATTAAGTTTTCAGGCTTAATTATTATTTTTGTATTTCATGTTTAAAATTCATAAAAGTATATAGGTATACTGTGGTATTAGATACCTACATATGCTTTTATACAGGTAATGTAATGTGATATTGTAATATGAAGAAATACTATGCATTGTACTAATCCACACAGTAGATATATACAAGGTCTAATATAACAATGAATTGAAACAATAACTATCACTATCACGCACACATGGATAAATAGTCACATCAGTGAGTTATACTACATCTACAATAAAGTTGTGATTATTTAAAAGATAAATTACTAATCCTCTAATAGCCATCACACTATATATAGAAATTATTGATAACTGAATATGAAATTAAACTAATTAAAAAATTACTTTTTGTTTTTATACTACTTTGAATGGCAAACAATCTGACGACCCACCTGATGAAAAGTGGTAACCGTCGCCTATCAACATGAGTAGTACAATGGACATAACAAAGCATACTGTTTCGTCCATGATACCCCCCATGCGTTGCCATTCCTGAGGACTTAGGTGTTATTCTTCTGTACTCTGTAAATTCACGCCATATCCCACCCTTCAAACCGAAACACAGCCATGCAGATACAACTGCTTTATGGTTGAAACACGAATGGGACAGATGTACCCAAGCAATTGACTTTTGTAGAAAGTCTCCCTCTGGTAAAAAATAAGGAGGAATAAATCCTTACTAATATAAATGTGAAAGTGAGTTTGTCTGTTACCTCTTAACACCTTAATGGTTTAATCAATTGCTATGAAATTTGATATACGTCAGATGAGAACCAGTGTTTTAAACTTGGCATGGATTTTGGCAATTTGGTATATATATAAGTACTATATGGAATGGGGGATATAGGGTACTTTTTGTATAGTTCAGTAAATATATTCCAGTTACATGGATGAAGTCGCAGGTAAAAGCTAGTAATTAATAATGGGAAATAAATACATAATTAGTAATAACTAAAAACAAAACAAAGACCACAAAAACGGCAGTGAATGGTATTCCCATGATGCTGTTCATATTTGTAGGCAACAGTTTACACTTTCCATCTGGTAGACTGCCAGCTTGTTTGTTATTAAAAATTATATATAAAGAGACTAAAAATTCTTATATTACAATCCCAGCAGTATACCTGTGTCAAATATAGTAGAGTTTGCTATCACCAACTATATTATGGTCTATCTCTGTACCAGATTGTATAACAGATGATTAGGAAAACAGTGCACAACACAGTAATAGTAAGTTGCCTGGCCATCTAACTAATATTATAAAGAGGAAAGATTTTATTTGTTAATAAACTCAAAATATTTAACCATTTTTTTTTAATTCTATCATCTATAAAAAGCTATGTAGCCTTGAGAATGTTGTCCACAAGCAAAATGGGTTATATTTCATGTAAAAAAAATTATTATACCTACCCATGTAAAAGTGAGGTGAGTTAGTAGTGATAGATAAACCATTCTCTTATAGATCATTACTTATTATGACAGGATGATGGTGCACCGAATTTCATTAAAATATGTTTAGTTACAAAATATATTTACAAAAATATTTATAGTTATAGTAAAAGATTTCACCATTTAATGATTTATTGATATTGTTAAGTGAAGTGGGGTTTGAACTAAAGAGATTTCTGTAAGCTGTTTATCATTATGATTTTCATAATCATAAAATGGCAAAAATAATAATTGTATCAGAATGATTATATACTGTTGACATTACTGTGACGTCTGTAACAATTTAAAATTGCCACCTGAATACATATTGGGTGTCTGGTCGATAACAGAACATACAGGTCGAACTATAATAAATATGTTATTGCTTCTTATATTAATACAAAGTTTAAGCATTAATTTCTGAGTTATATAGAAAAGAAATATAAGTGTAACTAACAGAGGGCATACACATAAAGAATCAGATAATTACAAAATATTAAACACTTTTTATTAACATTAACTAAAATTTCAAACACAGCTAAGTTGTTGTAAGTGTAAAAAAAATTATAGAATAAAACATGGCCAAAAAGTTGCATAATGTAGTAGGATAAATTTTAAATAAATAAATGGAATTTTGAACACTATCCATCATAATGTAGTATAGAAATATATTAATTAGTACTTACAGTCTATAATTAAGCATTAGTAACACACTATATTGGGTACTTAAAAAGCTGTTTACTGTTTGCACACTCTTTTGTTTGTCTATTTAAATTCAAGACTTCATAATATTTTAATGCTATTGTAATGTTGCAAATGATGCAATATCTAGTAAAAACAAGTACTTATTAAGAGTAAATAATAATAAGTAAAAAAAAAAAATACATTTCTAAATTGGTACTGTACACGGTAGTAATTAGAGATGCTCAATCACCATTTCATTTCGCCTACATGCTAACTAGGGCATTTTTATTGACAGCATTGATTATGTTCATTCAATAAAAACATGATTACCTACCAATCCAGATAGATTCAAGATATTGAAATCACGGAACTTAAAAATTGGAGGTCACACGTCTTGACATTTTCTCTTGTTTGGGGTACATCGACAGTGAAGGGGAATAATTTTGTTTTGTTGCTGAGCTCAGAGCAATGAAATTGTCTAGTTATGAGTCGCATCATGAACAATTGACAACAATTTAATATAGATAGGACGTCCAATATTACCTGAATTGTGACTAAGAAAGTCGTCTGGCTACTGTTTTCCTTTTGTTAACAGATGTCATTCGTTATCAACACAGTGCACATAATGCCCGAGCTACAATGCACTTTCACGTATTTTATTTTTTTCTTAACTGTATGACGATATCTTAACGCAAAGTAAAAACAATATACGAAACACTTAAAAAAAAATCACTTGTTTCTATTTTTTGTAATCAATTTACTCCCGTTGCACAGTCGTCACAATTTTGCGATCTTTCTTTACTATAGACAATCTCTCTCCACAGATATCAAATGTATGACATAGAATCCAATTCAAATAAAATATCTGTGGAAATGAAAATTCATTCTAGTTCAAAGCTGTTTTATTAAATAATACCTAATGGACTTCGCAGGCGGTGTACTAAGCACTATTGCTGCTTGTAAAGCAAGAAAGAAAAAATAGTTCTGTTTATGTTCTTCAAGCAAGTGGCAATAAATGTGTATATGCAACAAAATTTTATCGTTTACGGTGTCTTACCACATAGATATTGGATATCGCTAAATTATTATATTTCGAAGTTGCAACATTATTTAATGCTTTTGTTTCGTCTTGTCTTTCATATTTCTATATCATAGACAATCAACAAACTGAAATGAAAATGTCCGTCGTAAAAGAAACGATCTAATTTAGTTTGTGAATTTGTAATGAACTTGGCTTGCAATGTGAAATATATTGTATAATTTATTATTTTATAAGAGTGTAGTAACTTCAACAATGATTGTTCAAGAACCAATACAAGTGAGTATACATTGCTACGGTAATTGGGAACTGTCATTGCATTTGGCTTAAAATCATCTAAGATAAATCGTTTGAATTTCCAACAGGTGATCGTTTGGGATTGTCTCAATAACTATGAATATGACAATGCTATATTTTTGGCAGAGAGATTGCACGCTGAAGGTAAATTATAATTCATTTTCGTACCCACAAAGTTGTACACTGTTGAATAATAATCAACCTGCATTTTACTTGTAATATTGATTTTTACGCAACTAGTACTTTTCAAAGTTTAGTATGCACTTATTTTTTACAGATTCATTTTTAATGTAGAGAATAATGTGAATTTTTTCCTTTTAGTTTCATCAGAGGAAACAGCATTTTTGCTGGGCACATGCTATTATAGATCCGGACGCGTGAATGAAGCGCATAATTTACTACAAAATACACATCTAACATTACCACAAGCAAGATTTTTGCTAGCAAAATGTTCATTAGACCTAAAGTTGTAAGTAATCTGTTCTGTTATAAATACATATTTGTTTTATTGACAAGGAAGATACCAAATTAAAGTCAGAATAGAAGACAAAAATATGTTGTTCATGATGATGATGTTTTATAACAAATTTATGTGTAAGCTATATTAAACTCATTACAAATACGTTGAAAAGTTATCTAAATTCCTTTATAATAATATCTATCAGCATTAATAAATAAATTACATTTTCTATGAATTATGTCTCATTATATTTAACAAATTTAATTTAGTTTAAGTAATACTTATATTTGCAGATATAAAGATGCTGAAATTGCAATTGGATCAAATCTAGATATTGTTGCATCTGAATTTGGGGAACAAGCACCTTTTGCATTGCAAGTCCTTGCTAAGATTTATAATATCACAGAAAGAAGAGGAAAAGCAGCAGAAGCTCATAGGAAAGCATTGTCATTAAATCCATTCATGTGGAAATCATTTATGCAATTATGTAATTTAGGAGAGAAAGTAGATCCACATCATGTGTTCCAAATGAATAATACAGAGTTTTCATTTGGAGTAACATCATTAATGAATCTAGTCAGTAATTCAGAGAATATTTCATTTGTTAATACTAACATTCCTAATAATACTAGTATGAATTCTAATGTTACTCCAAATAATATTGTTGCTAGGACACCCATGACTATGTCCACAAGCATAACTCCAGAAACACAAGCTCCTGTTAAACGTATGCACAGTGTGTTCAGTGGTATAGCACCAATACCTTTTTCACCATCATTTGGCATGTTACCAATGGAAGAGTCACCTGTCTTATATACTCCAACACTTACAGATTCTAATGAACAAAAAGCCATACCTAAGATAGTGAATTCCTTAAGAGCCCAAATGTCTGCTGTGTTCAGCCCAGCCCCGAGGTGTTTGGGACCAGCTCCTAGACGTTCATCAAGACTTTTTAGTAATAACAATAGTAGTTATTCAGTTAAAGAAAATAATAAATCACCAAGCAGGAAATTTGTGGCACCTAAGAGTCCTTCAAGAAAAAATAAACAACGGACTGCTAAAAATATTAAAACAAACTCAGTTGAATCAAATGAGAGGAATAAAACTATAGAGGCAGTTACGCCTACATTAACTCCAAAGAGTTCTAATGGTATAGCACTATTAAATTTATTAAAAGAGTTAGGTGATGCATATAAAGCATTGGCATTTTTAGAGTGTAAAAATGCAATAAAATTATTCCAAGACGTACCTCCAAAGCAGCTAGTTTCCCCCTGGGTGCAAACCATGATTGCTCGTGCTCATTATGAATTAGCGCAGTATGATGCAGCAGCCAAAATTTTTGCAGATATTAGGAAACAATACCCAAATCGCACAGAGGGCATGGATATTTATAGTACCTGTTTGTGGCATTTACAGAGAGAAGCACAATTATCTGCTTTAGCTCAAGAGTTAGTAGAATTAAATAGAACAGATCCTATTGCGTGGCTAGCATCTGGCAATTGTTTTTCTCTTCATAAAGAACGTGAAACTGCTCTTAAATTCTTTAAACGAGCAGTCCAGATAGATCCAGATATGTCATATGCACATGCATTATTAGGACATGAATATGCTGTTGCTGAAGAAAGTGACAAAGCTCTGGCTAGTTTTAGGACTGCAGTCAGTATTGATCCTCGTAATTATGTAGCTTGGTTCGGTATTGCAACAGTATATGCAAGACAGGAACGTTGGAAAGCTTCAGAGGTTCATATTCGTCGTGCCCTAACTATTCATCCCCATTCTGGTGTATTGAGATGTCAGCTAGGACTAGCACAGGCTGCTTTAGGTAAAATGGATAGAGCTTTAGCAACATTAGAAAGAGCTGTTGCATTAGATACAGAAAATCCATTGTGTCGTTTTCATAGAGCCTCTGTATTATTACGTGCTGGTAGACCGCAAGATGCATTAGCAGATCTACATCATTTAAAAGATATTGCTCCAAGAGAATCATTAGTTTACTATTTGCTTGGTAAGGTCCATAACAAATTAGGAAATACACACTTAGCACTTATGCACTTCAGTTGGGCCACAGATTTAGATCCCAAAGGCACAGGTGGACATATCAAAGAGGGTTTTGATCCCTCAAAACAAGAGGATCCTCCTGAAAGATCTTAATTTTCTGACAAATATGAAAGGATTGTGAGAATTGCAAATACACCTACAGGAACTGTTAGCAGTGCAGTCGTACCTGACCGATCCTTTGTAAATATCGCGCTCACCTATCGAGCTCTTCATTGACACCAAATTTCTTCCAAATAATAGCTTTATGGGGTTCGATGGGTGTGTGATGGCATTTAGTCAGTGTAGTAGTAAGGGCGTTGTGGAAATGTTTATATAGATTAAGATGTGGATATTCCTAATGTTATCCTAGTATAAATATCTTGTATAGCTTAACTATAGAATGATAATGAAGAGGATTTTGAAAGAGTTGATGCTTTTAAATATTTGTGCGATGAAGGCCCTTGATCTCAATGAAAAATTTTTAAATCAATTATCCAATATGAAAATCATTGACGTATAAATAATAATAATGCCATAGTAAATTTGTAATAACACAATAATTATGTCTTGTTGGTAGTAATGGGTGTTTTAAGTTTATGTTATTCTTTAGAAATTGTGTAAAATAAAAATATAATATGGACATGAAGATAATATATTTAAATTATGTTGAGATGATCTCAAAAGCCGCAGATCACTACCGCCGACTTCATACGTCCATCAAGTTGGATTCTCTGAATTTATTTAAAAAGGATGTTACTACGAAACTTATCAATCGATGCATGTAGACATTTTTAATTTTTGATATACAATGACGATAATAAATATTTTGAGCTTTCAATGTTTGTAGAAATGCCCAAATTCTGTATTACATCAACTTTACATGGGAATAAATATTATTGATGTTATTATTGTACAGTACAGATATTAGTTTGTAGTATTTGACAAATTACTTTCATGTGTGTATGTACATAAAAAAAACAGCACTGTTTGTCATTTCACATCACCAATTCAATGAACTGCTAATTCTAAACAGACCTGTCTAGACCACCTTTGATTATATATGTATGAACTTATTGAATAAAACAAATGTATTAAACTTACAGCTTTATTTTATTTTGAAATGGAAAATTCGTCAATTTTCATTAGGTTTTAGATTTTTTTTTTTCATAGTATCACTGCTAGAACATTTCCATCAAAAATCCGCATTGACACTTATAATTAGAGGTATATATAAAATAAGATTTAAGATTACAACTAGAACTATGTAAATTTTTTGAGTATAGTGTCCAAAGCTTTTCTAACTGTAGGGTCTTTAAGAAGGGTGCTTTGATTTCCTTGTGGGGCAGCCACCGGTGGTGGCGTCGGCGCAGCTTCCTTTTGAGACGATACCTTTTTATCATTCAGGATGCTTAAGATTCTTTCTTGGAGATCTACTTGAGTTTTGGTCGTGGCTGGCGCTGGTGTGAGTGGTTCGCCCAGCTCAATTTTTATTTGTTGGTTCTTGCGTTCCTGGTAATATAAGATTACAATTAAATAATAATTTTTATTATAATTGAAAACAAGCTTTGTGGAAAAAGGGAGCATAAAATGAGGTTTCTTTTCATTAATTGGCTACGGCGGCCGTAACACGAGACGCGCCATATTATCGTTCACGCCATACTCCTTTAATAACTTGGTGAATAAACAATTTTGAAGCCTATCAAATCATTACATAATAAAAAACTTTACTTTCTACTAGTTTTTGGTTTTTTTAATAAGTTTGCAAAAGATTAAAAAAAAAAATGCAATAGATCATTTTAACACGTTAATCGCCATGTCAGACATATCTGTGCCTCTAGTGAGAAAGGGTATAACTCAAGTTATAGCCTTTTTCTTTTTTAGGCTACTTTAAATAAGCAAATTTTTCTCTTTCGAATGATATAAGAATCGTAACGATATCTTTAAAAACAATAGAGATAGTAAACATGTAAAAGGCTACAATTAACAAAATATTTGTGGTAAAAAAGTCATAATTAGAAATAAAACTACTACATATAAAAATGACAAGATACTTAGAACCCCCCTTTAAATATTAATTTATTTTTGTGTAAAATTAATCAGTTCGATTTGAACCCTTTTACACCATTTAATAGCAATTATTTTTTATAGCGTAAAATACATAACATTGTTTTTCTTCAATACTTCAATAAAATAGTTTTAATTCAACTTAAAACTATTTTCACATGATAATCTTAATATTTTTGTTAAGTGTGATTAGGTATAATATAATTATTTTTAAAACTATAGGTTTTACACAAAAACCGACAATTTCATAAGAAAGAGGAGAAAAAATTACTATAAATGCAATCTTTGACTTGTTCAATTAGCAAATAATAAAAGCAGGAGAATTTTTTTTCTTTATTTAAAATATTTTTTTGGCTCTGCTGAAAAGTGGCCATTTTGAATTGAACCCTTTCTCACTAGAGGCACAGATATATGTCTGACGTATGCGATTTGGTCAACACAAGGCCACGTCAATCACAGATGTTCGACGCAAACGATACATTTGCATTGTTTCGAAAGCTTGGCCTATCAGGAATAAACCCTGAAAATTTCTTGGCTTACTACGAACAATAAAATGAAATAAACATAGTTATATAATGGTATATTGTTTCAGTTGAAAAAAAGCATTTCATATATGTGTGACATAAAAAATTGTTTTTCCGGGAATTTTGGCAAAAAGAAATTCTGTGATACATTAAGTCTCCTTGATACATTTTTAACTAAACTATCCAATAAAGTTACCATGGCCCATGTGAAATTTTTTCTGATATTATCGTGGCGATTGACGTGTTAAGATGACAATCAAGATAAAAGTACATTGAATTTGGACTCTCATGAGCACAACTATGAAAACAGCATTCAATTTAATGCAATAGTTTTTGCGTCATGTCAAAATAAAATATTAAAACAAAATTAACATGCCTTTAGATGAGGCGAATTGCCTTATTATTATTTAAGATCATTTGTACAGACCACATTTCAAGCAAATAAATTAATTTTATAATTAAACATAGAGACAAACAGTATATTATTATTTTAATCTATTTTTTTTCCTAAATATCTTCTATGTACTGACAACATATAGTTAAAATTTTTTACTATATGCTAACGCCACCTAGTGAGGAGTTACAAAAACGGATACTATAAAATCGTGTACAAAAAATACATATACTAATTGTCATAGTGATCAATCATATATCTTTAATTTTTACATACAATAACTAGATTAAAGTTAAAATTATGTACCTGTAAATATTCTATAACTTTGTCATACTGTAAAACAGTGAGCGTGCGGCCGTCAGCTAACTGTCCCAATAACGCATAGACAGCTTCCCGTCCCGATGGGCCGCCTCGTTGTACTTCTTGGAAATTTCTAGATATCAGTTGCAGCGCATCCTCTAATGGCATGTTGCGATGTTCTAGAAGAAAAGTCATCTTTATAAGTGATCACGAAATATAAACCTGTCAAGTAAGATTCTCGTTCGTCGTTCTCGACAATCGTTTATAAATAAGTGTTCTCACTTATTTATAAACGATTTCCAAATTTGTCCAAGTGCCAACAATTTCCAGTAAAACAATCCACAGAAAAAAAAATATCACTTTAACCAGAGAGATTGTGTACACTTCGTTAGTGACATACTAGCTATATCCCGCGACATTGCTCGCATGAATGAATATGTTAAACCCTATGAAAAGTAGCTGAAGTAGGTTAGAACCTACTCATGTACCAAATTTCACTTCAATCGATTCAACCATTTAAGTGTGATTATATAACCAATATACAAATATTTTTACAAATTTTCATATAATATTGGAATGGTATTCAACAATTGAAATTATCACGTAGAGAAGAATTACAATAGAAATTACTTCTATTTAAGTTTAGTTGCAATTATTCATAATATTGCTGACTTTGGTGGTGTTTTTTTTTAAACAACTTAGAATGGCAAACAAGCTGACGGCCCACCTGATGGAAAGTGGTAACCGTCGCCTATAAACATGAGCAGTACCATGGACATAACAGAGTATACTGTTTAGCCCATGATACCCCCCATGCGTTGCCATTCCTGAGGACTCAGATGTTATTCCTCTGTACCCTGTAAATTCATGCCATATCCCACCCTTCAAACCGAAACACAGCTATGCAAACACAACTGCTTCACGGTAGAAACACGAATGGGACAGAGGTACCCAAGCAATCGACTTTTGTACAAAGTCTCCCCTCTGGTAAAAGTTTCAAACCGTTTCGCCTTCCAATAAACATGGGTTCAATCTTCGCATAATACAAACATTTTTATGCCATTTATTTTCTATACATAATATGCATGTACAACATATTTAAACTGTACAAATCTTTTTATGTAATAACTACCGCTTTACCTTACGTGTAATTAGATCGAGAAAGTTCAACTAGTTTCAGGATCAATTCGTGATCCTTAGTCATGAGCGACTGTGACGCGAGCGCGAGCCTGATCTACTGACAGTAGTTATTACATTAAAATATAATGTATAAATGTTACTTATTAAAATTGTACCTTGTGGTAAACCATGTAAAATAGTCAATGTTAATGATCTGTGTTCTTGGTTTTGTGGCATGACCAGGATGGCGTATAAGCAGCCTCTAGACGCTATGTTGCCTAATACTTTTCCAATTGGCACATCTTCCATAGGAAATAGGAGGTCCACAACTATACCGAGACGTTTTAATCGACCTTCGATATATTCAGCATATTCTCTGAAAAATAAAAATAAGGAAAATTGCTTTTTTTTTTATAAGCGCATCATGGCTTAGCGACTATGATTATCCAACAGTAAAAATATTGTCATTGTACGTAAACAAATTTAGTTAAACATTTTTATCTAGCTTTTTACTTGCATTACTGTGTCTGCGTGACCAGGATATGTTTATTGACTGAGATAAAAAGTAACCTATATCCTTCTCCATCTTAGTTTTTTTTTTATACTATAAAGGTAGTAAATAAACATACAGCCCGTCTGCTTATTATCCCGTTGAGCGTATTCATTATTAATTTTAAACGGTCGTCCAGTGAAGACTACCGCTTCACTCGACTGGTAAGAGCTTTGAAATTTTACAAAATATGATTTTCATATTTTAATAATAACAATGACTCTTAATTCAAATGTGACTGACATTTTATAAATTTTTTCAAAATTTTATCTTTTGGTGATAGAGAATAGAATTAACAAGCATAATTAAAAGTTAATAAAAAAATAAATAATAAAAAAAGGATATATAGCCCGCAATAGGGACTAACCTTGTCATTACTTACAATCCTTTCCCTCTATAATTAAAGATTACAAAGGTACATACGTGAGAGCCTTGGAAACCACAATAATTTCGCAGTCATTTCTCTCGGAGACAGGCAAGGCACGGGGGTAGTCTGGCCGCGATTGTGGATATCTATCGTAACCACCGCGATCTGACCATTCACCGCCTGTAAATATAAATTAGGGTTTTCAAAGTCGAGCAAATTATGCCAATACAATATGCGAAATTAGCGATAACCGGAGGACTAAAAAAAAAACGAAGTTTTATTAAAACTAATTAACTTTTATTAATAACAGTTACAATATAAATTTTAATATCTATTTAAAATTAAAATCAATCAACTGCCCAGTTCGAAGTGTGAACCAGAAGTGCGTTTTCAAGCCGTCAAGTAGGCCAGTCTCGTGCTGCAACGTCAGCAGTTACCTAGTTAAGCACTTACGTCATTTATACGAGTGTTGGATACGTTGCGACGTCAGCGGTCTCGATAGTGGCTCGCTATATAACTACTCCATCCTCAAAAGAGCAACTATTTTTCAATTTTGGGAAAGAATGTAGCTGTCGGCAGTTTCTGGTTGCCTCCGGTACTGTAGTCGTGATGATGTGACGTCAACTTTCATCTCAGATGTTGAGCGATGCAGTCGTAGATACCTTCGTATTCAGATAATAGGAGTGACTGCGAGTGTACTCAATACTAAACCATATAGTGGAATGGTTGTATGAGTTGATGAATGCAGCAAGTATTCTCGAGATAGATGTATTACTGTATTTCGTCTTTTATGCAGCTTCTCCAGATCCATAGCGTTAATCTTAAGTGTCAATGGCAGCGGCTTCTCGTAAGTGATATCTTAGTTATCATTAAGTATTGCCTTTTTATTTAGTTATGAACTTTAATGATGGTGAAGTCATCTGTGCGCAGCTTACAGTTATGTGGTATAGTGGCTACAAAACTTTTGTTCAGCATGCTGTGTTTCTCACTTTCGCAGATAAGTTTAACTTCAGTAGGTTATACTCATAGAAATATGATGGCATAGTGACTATCATCCGGCTTCTCCATTGCAGGTTTTACAAGATCGATTGATGTCGTCTCACAGGATGAGTATGCGGTTTTCACCTCAATAATGTTGCAAATACAATCCGGCTGAGATTGCAATTGATGGTTTAATTTTTCCTCACATAGATACGCAGAACTTCGGGCACTTTTTTTTATTGGATGAAAATGGTAACCCCGCCTGCGCTAATGGGATATGCTGGCGGGGCACCAGTGAAGGGTGATCGATGAGGATGAAAACAGGCCAGTTAGCCTATCACGATGAATTCATCTGGAATTAATCATGATAGTTTCCAGGGGGAACCGCGAGGAGGTCGACCTGGTTGGGTATATTGCTAGAAATGGGACTCTTAGTCTCCATTACTAACAATCCCTTTCTCCCCAACTTCGGGCATTAAGTCTCCATATACACGTAAATATTTCCAGTGATTGCAAGGAGAGGGTAAGGAGAAATGCTAGTTTGCTTATTCTTATTTGGCAAAATAATTAATTTGTGTAAAATGTAGCTAAGTGGGGAAACTATCGAAAATTTAAATACAAATACTATCTGATTGACAAAATATGAGGCTGATTTAATAACGTTACAGTACTCTCTAAATCTAATTCTAGTAAATTACTTTTATTATAAAAACTTTATTTAACATACTAATCTTTATATTAATATTTAGCATAGAATGATGTAATGCATTGCACTGTAAAGTGCTATTGCATTTTGTAACCTACTTAATTCGCTTAATAAGCTATCTACATTATCGTTAGTAATTACTAATATTTGTGCGAATTTAGCAAATTTATAAACTGTGTATACCGCATGTGTATTTGCGTTAAGTAGGTCATGCATAGTTTCATCATCATCATTATTTAAAGCAGATTTTCTACAACTTTCATAATAATATCTGTGAGCATACAATTATTCTGTTCTAACTGATTTAGATTTTTTTAAGAATTTCGAGAGCGTTATCAGGTCGACCTCCACGCGATTCCCCCTGGAAACCATCTTGATTATTTTTATGAATTTTTATGAATTCATCACTATGACAGAAACTGCTTTCATCCTCACCTATCATTCCTCACTATTGCCCCGCCAGTGTATACCATTGTAAGAGCATTGCGGATCTCTAACCAATCATTCGGTATACCATATGTGTTAATTAAACGCGCGACAGGTCCGACTATTTTATTTAAAATACCATTTATTAACGCTAGTTTGTCTAATGCATTCCCATCGCATTCTTACTCTACTATTATCTGGTCACACAATCTATTAATATATTTGAATTTCCATCAAATTCAGGTATAAATCTAAGCGCTTTAATTATATTATCTAAGTCAGTCATTGTACTAGTGTTCAATTGTCTATTAATATCTAAAAATTGACTTTTTTTCTTTTCTCAAAGTCCTCTACCCAAAGGTTGTCTTGTCTGGAAGAGATTGCTTAGCGGTAAGGCCGCCTTTGTATCATTTCTTATTACAATTAAATGTATTTACTATTTTATAAATGGTGCAATAAAGTGTAAAATAAATAAACTCCTTCCTACGACTATGTTGATCTTGTGACTTAAAAGTACGCGATTTTCGAAATTCCGAAATTCCCTAGGGTGAAAAATCTTGGGATATTTCCTAAGACACAATTAATTAATACAAAAGGAAAGGTAAGCAACCACTAGGTAATTCAGTGTACTTACATAAGCAGCATCTTGTTTCCTTTTGAGTTGTTTCTTAGGTCAAGACACTCCATGAAGGCTTGATAGCTCAACCAATCGAAATCCGGCACCGATTTTTGGAGCTGGATTCCGATCACGATGCGCACTGACCGTATTCTGACGCGTATTCTACCGACTGTGCCAATTATAAGGACGACAACCGGATTAAAATAATTGCCCAGTTCGATGTGTGAACCAGAAATGCAATTCATATATCTAATTATAACTAAAATTACTGTCCAGTTCGAAGTGTGAACCAGGAGTACGTTTTCAAGTTGTCACGTAGATCAGCTTTGTGCTGCAGCGTCAGCAATTACCTAGTTAGGCATTTACGTCATTTATTCGAGTTTTAGATGCGATGCAGGGTCAGCGGTCTCGATAGTGGCTCGCTATGTAAATAGTAGTAAATAAAAAAACAGAAGTTTAAGGTTTGGTATTTATAATCACATGTTTATATTTCTTTTTATAATTGTTTTATTCTACAGATTATTCATTTAATTTACTCCTGGTGTGAGAGGGACACCATCTGATGTGGAGAGTTTCTAAATTCTTAATATGTCCTAAATATATGATATTACGAAATAAAATGTGCTGTATAGCTTGTATCAGTTTATGTCACGTTAATATTCGTCAAATGACCACAAGGTGTTTGTGTGTAGAAATTTAAATTTATTTATGTGTATTATTCCTTTTTTATATACGTCATGGTACTGATGATTTCCTGGGGAAGCGTATTGGAAGACTGTAAAGCTCACCCAGTAGATGTAATGTAATAAATAAATATTCAGTCTACGTACATTACAGTACATTTTATAATTTAAAAAGTATAAACATACCCACTATATATCTGACAATTCTAAATAAACAAATAAACTTTTGTGTCATGGACCTTCGTTTCTAACGAGTGTTGTAAGAGGCGACTAAGGGAATTTAATAGTTGAGAAACAAACAGCAGCGTCTGTCTTAAAACATTACCAAGGTGCCAAACGTGGCAACTATTGGGGGAAACCCCTCAAGGGGGAGGCCTTTGTTCGACAATGGTTAGTAAACGCCAAATATGATGATGATGATGATGATAAAACTTACTTTTTCATTTACAATATTAGTAAAGATTTAAACATTCAAACTTCGTTCATAAAAATTTAAACTTACAAACTCATTATAACTATTGGTTTGTTATAACTTTTATACATATTAAAAATTTAACATAAAAGATAGATAGAAAACATTTAAATGCCTAATATAGGTTGATAAATGTTTGAGGCTGCAATAGTACCTATAGGATATCAATACCTCTGACAGGTGGAGGAGAGCGCTCTCGGAAATTAGGTTGGCGGCCGCGGCCTCCCCATCCGCGACCGCGGGCTGGGCCCCGGCCCCTTGCACCGCCTCGACTTTCTTTCCAATTCTGGTTGTAACCCTCATCATACTCTTCATCTCTGTAACCTGCTAAGTAGATTAAAAAAAAAAACATAAAAATTATTATATGACATTATAACAAGAAAGTAGCATAATAAAGCACAAAATAAAATATTAATTGGTAGAATAACATTATGAAATTACAAACTACAGCCACTGTTATATGTTTTTATGTGACTTAAGAAGTGTTGCCCTTTTTTTGAGGTTAACCCACTTATAAATGGATAACAATGATCACAGAATTCCCCGGGATATTTAATTAAAAAACAACAGCCTTACAATAACACTAATAGCATTAATAGTATAAAATTTAGACAATTTAAACACAATTCAATGTAGTAAAATTTTGATATTGTCTTTGCTATTATTGTGTATAATTTTTTTTTAAATTGAGCCCAAATCAAGTTGTTTGATTTGTTGAATAATATGGAACATTATTTTATAATGTAATAAAATTTAAATTATATAAATAAATTAATATATAAACATTATATAGTAGTGGACAATAAAGCTGAGAATGAATATGTGATTCTTTATGCACTTACATACCTCTTGTATTTATTGTTATTTGTATTAATTTATTTACTATGAGAGTAGTGTTGTAAAAAAAACTTTAGAGTGCATCATCTTGATTATTATATGACAACAGCTTTATAACCACTCCATAGCGACATTTAAAACAATATAAAACAAAAAGTACAACAACCTTGATCCCCAACATAGTTGCCATAGTTGTCATATGGGTCTTCACTTGGCTCATCGTTGCTAGTAAGGTGGGTATCAGTGAGTACTACTGCTGGCGGTTTCTCAGGATGCACCACTACTACTTCTGCTGTATTTCTTTAGGATTAACAAAAAAAAATTATTTTTAATATATACCAATTAAAAAAAAAAAACAAATTGCTAACATATTTTATTAACATAGCTTATACTACCAATCCATCCTAGGAACAGCCCATACAAGTATGGGTATCTACCTATAAAGATAGAAATATAAATTAAATAAAGCTCATGTTATCCACTGATAATGTAGTATTCTATAGGCAAAAGAATTTTTAAAGTCAATTAAGTACTTATGTACTTACATACATTATAATGTATAAGTGCTTAACTGACAACTGTAATAAAAATAAAATCTTTTCTCTTTATAATATTAGTTTAGATATGCATATTTATATAACATATAAACTATTTCAATTTTACAATGCAATTGATTTATACTTTTGGTTTCATTATTATTTCAGTCACTAATTGTCCATTGCTGAATATAAGCCTTTCCCTTAAGAGGAGTTTTGCCAGTAGTTGCCATACTTGGCAGGTGGGTTGGCAACCGCAGTTAGGCTTTAAAGATGTTTTACGAAGGACGCTGCTGCCCATTCCACACCCTCCCTTAGTCCACTCTTACGACACCTACGGGAAAGGAAGGGGTGGCCTATTCTATACCAGGATCACACATTTGATTTGGTTATCATATTTACATTTTATGCAAATTTATTAAAATTCTGCTAATATCTCTACAATATGCTATGATCATGTTTGTTGCAACACTTGAATGCAATTTTAGTTATAAACCTAAGTTTTCCTATGAATACATGACTTTAATTTAAATTTAAACAATATAATTAAAGTACTCAATAAATTTACTTATAAATAGTGAGTATGGCTTACGATTAATCCTGAACATATAACTAAGATTAAAAAACAATAATTTCACAGTACATTTCTATAATGAAAATGAGGGAAGTATTCGAATGAAGGGCTTTGTCTGCAAAGGAACTCACAATTAGTAATCATGATTACCTTTTATCAGTATTTTGCTGTGCCGTTCTAACAGTCAACGTTTTTCCTTGAAGTATGGTACCATTTGCCTTAGCTATAGCATCCTGAGCACTTGATTCCTCCTCAAATTGAACAAAACCAAAATTTCTATTTATGACAATACCATTAATTTGCCCATATGTTATAAAGTGGTCATAGAGATCTTCAGTTGTAATATTATCGGGTAGACTACCAACGTATATTCTTAGATGTGATGTAGACCGGTCTTTCATTGCTTGTCTATCCAAAGTTAATTTATCTGCCAGAAAAAAATAAATAATTTGTAGTAGAATTTCATAAAAAGACGACGAAATTAATTATGATAAACAGGATAAACAAATGAATTATATTACATTATCTAATTATTCAAGTGAACCTGAGCACTATCGTATATTAAGTGTATTAAAATAATAAATTTCTGTCATAAAACAATCTTAATAACGTACCTGCCATGGTTATGAGATATTATTGTTTCTGTAATGCAACAAATCAGAAGATCTATCTCCTGTAACAAATGATATTTATAAAATTATTTCAAAGTAGCATTATCAAAAAAACAATTTGTTTAGTTATTTTGGCATTTGGTTGCAAGAATGACCAAAGACAGAAGAAACAGAATTCAAAAATTATTAACTAAACTACGAGCAAATTTACTCTGTGGTCAGCATTGAGTACTAACAGGATGAGTCTAGAGACATCGAAAGTCTTGTGTCACGCCACAAAAAAAGAAAAAAAAAAGTCTTGTGTCAAATGTCAACTCACATATGTCAATTTCGAAAATTTGATGTTTCAGTTTTAAACTTGCTACGCTATCCAAATCCTTCAAATTTAAATCTACTGCTTGCTTCTTTTCAAACTCATTTTTAATTTTTAGGTTACGACATGGCAAAAAAGTTGATTATTTACTTGTACGGGTGTTATATAATAATAATATAGTGCCCAAAAATTTCGCCTTGACGGTTTTGAGTAATATTATATTTTTGAAATTATTTATTTCTATTTTATTGCGTTCTTTATATCGTTTCGCATGTAAGTATAAAAAATATTGGCGTGATTGTGTATTAAATGTTATTTTTATACGGGATAGAATTTATTCAATAATTTTTATGATTTGTAAATGTACATCTAAGAATATTAAGTAATAATAATATTAAGTATTTAATATTTAAAGATAATTATTTCTTATTTTTCTATTAAGTATTGTAATTTTTACGTAATTGTTTTTTTAAGTTTAATTAATAACAATAGACTAGAAAGTATGTACTTACTTATGCAATATGTTGTTGTAAAACAGTAACACTTATTTGTTATAATATTTTGTTTTAGGTTAAACATGTTTTCCTTAGAATGACATTTAGAAGGTTTTTTTCTAAAGCATTTAAGACTTACAGACTTGGAATAAGCATATTATTTACCAGAAAATATCTGTTTTACACCAATGTGTTGCTGTCTATGGGGATCTCTATTGCTGGGGACTTGATAGAACAGAGATATGAGCTTTATAGACAAGAAATTGGAAAGATTGATTTAGAAAGAGCCGGTCAAATGGCATTATCCGGTCTAACAGCTGGCATTATTTGTCATAACTGGTATAATTTTATTGATAGAATAATTGTTGGAAGAACTTTTGACATGGTGGTGAAAAAGTTAATGCTTGATCAGTTTATTTGTTCACCTGTTATAATATTGTCATTTTTTGCTACTGTGGCTCTGTTTGAGGAACAACCATTAGAAAACTTTACTGATGAAGTCAAAGATAAATTCTGGACATTGTACAAAGCTGAATGGATTGTGTGGCCACCAGCTCAAGTTATTAATTTTTATTTTTTACCAACAAGATTTAGAGTTCTGTATGATAATATTATATCTCTGGGATATGACATATATACCTCACAAGTCAAACATAACAAGTCTCAGAAAACTAGATCTCAATTAGAATCTGAAGGCTAATAAAATATTTCTTATATTTAAAAAGTCATAGTGTTTATGCTGTTTTTTATAACATAAAATATTTCTAATATTTATAATAAAACATTGGCAACTGGGCATGTGTTTATTCTGGTAGAATCTCATTTTTATAAGTGCATGATAAGTGTATAGGTACTGGCATTGTTCATTATATATCAAAGGGTCTTATGGAAATAAATATAAATACCGTAAAGAAACCTAAAGTATAGATAGATAATTTTTTTTTATTTAACATGAGACATTAGTAATAGCTCTTATATTTTTATTTATATTTTTTTTTCAGATACTTTACAAGAAATGCAATCATTAGGAATAACATGGAGAAAGATAGCAACAAGTGTTCGTGCCTCTGGACCAGTTTCACACTTTAAGAGAATACTGAAGGTAGCATTTAGTGACAAATATCTATTCTACACAAATGTTACCATATCAATGGGTCTCTCATCTCTAGGTGATATATGTGAGCAACATTATGAAATTTATATTGACCAACAAGAGAAATTTGATATCAAACGGACAATGCATATGGCCTTTTCTGGTGTAGCAGTAGGAGTATTGTGTCATAACTGGTACAAAGTTCTAGATAAATTGATTGTAGGGAAGACTTTAGATATGGTAGCTAAGAAATTGTTTCTTGATCAAATGGTATTCTCGCCTATAATGATTGTTACATTTTTTGGTAGTCTAGCATTATTTGAAGAGAATCCACTAGAGAATTTTAAAGAGGAAGTTAAAGACAAATTTGTGACGCTCTATAGAGCTGAATGGATGGTATGGCCACCTGCGCAAATAGTAAATTTTTATTTCTTACCAACTAGATATAGAGTATTATATGATAATACAATATCATTAGGTTATGATGTATATACATCACAAGTGAAGCATAATAAAAGTTTAAAAAGTATACCAAAAGATTCTAAAAATGGATCATCTTGACGAAAATTTTTTAATAGAATTAAATAAATTCATAATTACATAAGTGTACTTTAAGTAGGTATCAATAAATGGGAATCTTTATTTATTTCTGATAATTTATAGATGATAATCATCAATACTTAATAACAACCAGAATACTGTAAAATACAGTTGTTCAATGTTGAGGAATAAATATTAAATATATATGTAATGAATAGCAATTTACTGACGAAATATACTTAAACCAGTTTAATTTTTAAAATTAAGTATTTACTTACTTAAAATAGCCAATAATTTTAGACAATGTATGGAGTAATTTGTTGTCTAATAGAATATTATGGACTGTAATAAATATTTAAGTATACTTTATAAAATCAATATATTTATTAATTCTGAATGGTTCATTACTTCCAGTTTGGTACATATTGTACTTAAAAACCCATATATAAGGGTAATATCATGCACCAATTTATTATTATTATTTATATTCTAATAAAGTGAAAGTGCTGTGATAATAGCAATTAACTAATTGATTTCATGGTTTTATTAAGTGTTTTTTGTTAAAAATGTATCTATGATTCTGTTAACTAATTACGTAATGTTTTCGATTATTATACAATTTAATAAAAAATGTTTTAATATAGATTTTAATTATTAATTTTTTCGAACTATCCAACCTCAGAAGTAGATAAATATCAACCTTAATCCTTCATATTGAAGCGATATGATGCACTTTCCGTGTTTATGCCATGTCCCCGTATTAATTTTGATATGGCGATACGATTACGATATACCACGATTTAAGTGGCTTCATTTGCTGAGCTATAACTTACATTATTCATTTTTAAATACCATATGGCAAGTTGTACTGCAGTGGGTACACAGACATAATAATTATGTACTAGATGTATCTTGCAGCTTTACCCGTGTGTATCAGTATATTATGTATTCTATGTTGTAAGTTAGGATTTAACCTATTTGTATACCAAATATCATTTAAATCCGTTCAGTAGTTTTTGCGTAAAAGAGTAACAAACATCCATTCATACATCCATCGTTACAAACATTCGCATTTATTAATGGATTTTATAGTATGTTTTTGTAGAGATGAAATTCGAATGGAATTCTTGCACTTTCGGTATACATTGGCGAAGCACCTATGAATAATGTTAGGCAAGAATGAAGTTGGTTTTTTTTTAATGTATGATAATAAAGTGGTAACCCCGCCTGCGCTGACGGTATACGCTGACCGTGCACCAATGAAAAAAGATAGGTATGAATGAAAAGGCAGTTCAGTCAGCCCCTCGTGGTGAACATTCCAGGAATTCAGCACGATGGTTTCCAGGGGGGACCACCTCGACGTCGATTTAACATGGTATATTGCTAGCAATGGGACTGCTAGTCCACATCTTCAACAAATTCGAGACCATCTCAAACTTGCCAACTTTGTCAATAGATAATCAACGGTTTACCCTAGCGGGATACCATTGAGAGAAATAGAAGAGGGTGATGTCAGGTCAGTTGGTCGAATTCATTAGGAATTACCTACCATCATTTCCAGATCAAATTACGCGCACTTCCACGCAATTCAATCAGAAAAGCAATTATTAAGACTAGTATTAAATTGAAATAAAGAGAGGCAAGAAATTGTTTTCTATTTTTAACGCAATAAACACATTTTATACTTCCGACCAGTTGCCAATTGGCCAACATTTTCGAACCATAACGAGCTATAACGTAGGTATAAATAAAACTGTACAGAGCACAGGCGCGCCCAACACGTGTAGAGAACAAACTCACGTGTTATACCATGTACATAGCGCGAATCAAGCAAAGAATCAAATACACTTAGCTATTTTTAGTACCTACCTAAATTAATAATACTTAGGTAATAGGCAGGTACATAAAAATCTTGTTTATTTACAATTTATATTTGACATTTAAAATAAGCAACATTGTTTCGTGAACAGACATATTGCAACTGGTATATTTGAGTATTAATCGTACGTAAAATCCCTCTGTTTACTAGGATATATAATCTTGGTCTACATTTTACTTAGGCGTCAAAAAAGGTTCATCCACTGCTGAATATCTCTTTGTTTTCAAATTATTCAAAACGCTGTTCACTATTGAGTTCTCGAGTATTTTATCTGACCATGATTCTATCCGTCTGTTGTGGCTTGTTATCATTGACAGCCGACTGGATCCCGGAGTAACCCGGGACTTTCTATTTTCTTTCATTCCCAGCAGTGAAGTGAGTAATTTGTCCAGCGCTGCTATATCATCACCATTTGATACACGAGGCTGTACATAATTTGGCGATGAAGCTCCCGTATTGTTTATGCTGGAACGCTTTGAAATAGGCGTTTGTGATTGCAGCCCAATAGTACGTATCACCTGAAAAAAAAGAAGATACGATAACGAAAGATAAGATAAAATATTTGGTACTTGATCGTTTTATTAGTTTTATTAGGTACGTTGATGGTAAAGTTTTCTAGTATTGACTTAGGTAATGTATCTATGTCTTATCTATTTCTTCGTCTATGACTATGAAACAATGGTTTCGTTAAAAGAAAAAGGGTAATAATAGTCAAGGTAATGTACCTCATCGGCATTATGGCTTTGATAACTCATTCTCTTAACTTTCCTATAAGTTTCATCGTCCAAAGCCTCTTTAACTGCAGCTTCTAATTTCTCTTTAACTCTATCTGTTGCCTGATTAAAATCTTCTAATACCAACCTGAAACGTACATTATAAATTGACAATTAATTACCTATTTAATAAATTATTTTTGTAATATTAAGTAGGTAATATCCATATTGATTGCAAAAATAAATTGTCCAAATCGGTTTAGAATTGGCGAAGATAGCCTGTAACATGCACACAAAAATAAATATATGTGAATTAAGAAACTTCTCCTTATGGAAGTCGCTTAAATATGGATAAACTTTTCATTAACATTTTCAGAATCTTTGTCGTTCTTTTGGAAAAATTATGAATTATGCAGTGGTGAATTTATATGTTTGCCATCATCATTAGCCAAAATCTTTTTATAATTTTTTTTTACAATTGAATTTTATTATTAGAAAAAAAAAATTGCCGCCTCTAAAATTCCCACTATCGTCTCCAGCTTACTAACCCTGCTGGTAAACCTGCAATTGGAATAAAATATCTCATTTACTTACTCGGCACGTTCTTCTTCCTCGGCTCGTTGCATATTTGCTCTGTTGGCATCCCGCGCGACTTTTATGTCTTGCTCCCAGAACCGTCTCAGTTCTGGAGTAGAGGTGTAAGGCGCCGCAACCTCTTTTATTTTGAGGAACATTATTGCAGTTATAAATATGCAGATAACATTTACTATAGTGAGGCAGCAACTCACGATACCTTTGGAATGGTAAATATTAGGAAAATAAATAAAGTGTGATAAGTAAATGCCTGCTTTAAAGTATCAGTCAAGCAACTTTGCTTATTCAGTTAAGTCGAAATTAAAAATTAAAAATATAAAAATTTTATTATTGTTGTGTTTCATCATGCCTCTTGGTTTGCTGTAAAGATAGATATCATAATAAGTATTGTATTGTATTTGGAATTATGCTTAATATAATATGTGAAGCATAATTCCATTCAAAACCATTGCTAATACCATGTCCAAATACGAGTACATAGGAATAGCTACCGAGTTGGTATTTATATTTTATTTATTTCAACATTGTTAATGTTGTGAGTTTTGGAGTCTCGCCAACGTGTATAATGTGAGGAATTCGTGGTCGTTGCTGTAATCGCTGATACAAAAAATATTGTAAAGTTTTTAGGAGTAGTATGAAGATGAGATTTGCCATAAATAAATAAATAAATGGGATAAAATATCCAATGACCCTGGTATTCATATTTATAAGTGACTGTCATCTTTCATCAGATACAGTGTCAGCTTTTTGCTATTTGCAATAAGTAGTAGAAAAAAATCTAGATTACTTACCATTAACTGCAAATTCAATAGGTATGTAATCGTGGTACAACGGTTCATAAGTAGTGTTGCCATAATATGCTTCTCCTTTAATATGAGGAATCTTTACTCCTGGGTATAATAGCCAAATACAAGCTAACGCCCAAAATAGACCCTGGACACGTGGAATAAAAAGAGTAAAATTATAATGATAATTTTAATTATTTTAATTATTATTTGTACTTAATAATTTTAAAGTGTAAAAAGTAAAAAAAAAATTGTGAAGAAAATCATAACTATTAATAAATAAAATATATGTATTAATATATGAATTTAAAATATATAAAAAAAAAATTAACTAGAATAATTTACCCGTTCATTTAGTATGTCATATATTCAATATTGCAATAATAACAATTGCGTTTACATAAATATCTAAATATAGTTCCATGACCTGGTTAAGGTATAGCTGTTCAGAAGTCACATAGCCATACGTTCATTTATCAACATTGATCAATTGTTTCGTCTTATTCATTTACTTACACAGTTCACAACTGGCGGCAATAATGATGCGGAAATTGCAATACCGATGAGGGGTCCCGCACTGCCTTGAAGTAAAGCTAGGGCCACTCCAGTGCCTGATGTTAAAGCCCATAGTACTCCCATCCACAATGAGCGCACATTACCACTATAATGTAAAAAGGTAGGTATATATATTAAATATGTGGATAGTTTGAATGCATTGTAATTAGGTAGACAAATAAATCTACTAACATTTATTCAAAATATACGTTCGTTCTAATTAAAAACTTGACTAATGATGTCTAGTGTGTAAAATAGAATTGCTCAATAGTACATTTTTTTTTTCTATTTATGTTTTCTGTACCGTAATGCCGTGTAGTCTGGCGTAGAATGAGCCACCCCTTCCTTTCCTGTGGGTGTTGTAAGAAGCGACAAAGGGAACTTAATGGCCGAGGGAGTGCCAGCAGCGTCAATCTTAAAACATCACCAAAAGCTATGTTCACAAATCCGGCTATCAAGCGTGGCAATTACTGGCAAAACTGTTGTAAAAACTCTATAGTCGTTTTTATTAATGTTTTATAATCAAAATATAACAATATAATAATATCTGGCAGTTTTCTTTTCTCTTCTAAACTTCACAAAATACAGACATGTTATTATTCATCGAACTGAGCTTATTATTTTCAACATTCGTTATCAGCACGAGGTAAGGAATTTATTTAAAAGAAAATTCTACTCATTCATAATGGCTGGGATGAATTTGAATTCTATAAAAATGTTGGTGAAACGTGAAGATTATACAGCAAAAACTCCTCTTTATGGGGGAGGTCTATATTCAGCAGTGGACAGTTAACGGCTGATATGATAATGACACCATAATGGTAGTAAATACCTAAGCAAACAGTCTGTCTGACGACAAAGGATTACAGTAAAGTACGGATGCTATAGACTTTTTCAAATTATACACAGAAAAAAGTACATACAAAATGCATATTGAGTACCCCTTCCTTTTTTAAAATACTCTAATGTCTAAACATGTCATGAGATTTGTTATCTTTACCGTGATTTCATTTCCTCTGTCGGCCAATCTCCAAACCCCCATGGCATCTCTGTTGTTCCTAAGATCAATCCAAATATGAATCCGAACAGCAATGAGACAAACATGCCCAAAATTAAACTTTCAAATCCACTCTTAACAAGAGTTCTATCGGCGATAATAGTTCCAAATGTGATGGACATCACTGGACCCATTAGAGGCGATACCAACATAGCTGCTACTATATTTGACGAATTGTTTTCAACTAGACCCAGTGCAGCGAGGGAACTGTAATAAAATAGTAATCTACATAAATAAAAATTAATTGCAAAATGCATGTAAGCGCATCACTTCAAAGCGGCTTCATCTATTTGAATAATTTTTTTGTTGTTGTCAGAATAATGTTAGTATGAAATAAAATGATTGAAAAATTATACGAAGAAAAAAATAGGGTTAGAAAATGTCCATATAAAATGTGAGTGAGTAAGTGAGTGAGAAGGAAGATAGTCTCATTTCGTTTAATAGTACACCCCGTGTAGCTATTAATTAATCATTATTTATATTGCTCAAAATATTACATAAAATGTTTATAGTCTTTTTACTTGATAGCTAAGGAAGAAAAGTTTTTTTATTCAGAAAAAAAGAATATGCTAGCTAATGTTCCAATGGCTGCGGTTTCGATCCCCCAAAATACAAACATTTGTATTTATGGGTAGCAACGTCTATAATTCTGTGCACGTAGAACCCACAAGTTTGCTTAGTTTGAAACTAGATTGCTCTATCCGATATGTCCAGTACTATTTATTATTATCACTAATGAAATTCTACATTACTAATCCGGAATCTATACCAATATAATAAAGCGGAAGGGTTTGTTTGAACGAGCTTATCTCTGGAACTACCAAGCATTTAATAGCTCATTTTTAAGGAAGGTTATATGCTATTTAAAATCACGATGCGATTACGGACGAAATTGCATGATACAACGAATTTATTATATAAATTACTTACTCAGCGGTAATAATTAATGTTAAATAGTCGAAAGATAACTCTCCACCACCTCTGACGCCATCCACCACCTGTCTCACAGTTAGCTTTGATCTGATAGACTCCACAAAGCTACGCCAACGCTTCGCCTCTTCTGTTTTATGTTTATAAGCAGAATAATCACTAGAAATTGTAAATACGAATTTTAAAGTACAATTTTCCCCGTTTTTGTTTAAGTAAGCTGTGGCTGTATAAGAATATATAGTATAAATAGGCTACGTATATTATAATATTAGACACGGGTAATATTTTGCCGCTCCGATTTGGTACCAGTACCAATTGGGTACCAGAATGTCCAGAACATTGATGGGGAAAAAATGGTCATCGCCCATTCTGATATCGCCCATACTATATATACCATATTCGTTTGGATCGAGTTTTTCATTTCAATATTATATAGGTATTGCATAATTGATATATATATATATATATATATATATTCGTTTCTGGGCCAATATATAGTTATAATAAATACAGCTAAAAACTATAGATATATATTGGTATACACCTCTAATTATTATACCTACCAACGCAGGTATATTAATTACGATACAAACATATAGGTATTATACTTACAATATGGTTTCTTCGGCATCCTCATTATCGATTGCTGTGTGTACAACGTTACATGGGAGAACACTGAAATTTAAGACGGAAAATTATTTACTTGTACATGTTTACATACATGCTGTAATGGCTTTGTTTTCGTTGATTAGTTAGAATTAGAAATTTAGAAAATGATTGTTTTTGTACAGAAATCTATTTTTATCGATGTTAATTTTTTAGAGCATAATTAACTTGTCAATCCAGCTCGTATTCTGTTTACCTATATTATTAGGTATTAAATCTACTGTCAAGTCAGTATATATTTACTGATACATATAAATGAAACGTTTAAATTTAAATTTTATTATTATTACAAGTTTATATATAATAATGTAACCAGAACCGATTATCTACTTCATAACATTTTAAAATATTTTTTTATTTTATTTTAGGTCAAGGATTTACCTATTATAGATATAATGAATGAATTTATCTAATCAGAATACCTACAATATAAGTATTTTAATTGGTTACTCAGATTAGACAAAACTATTATATTCAGATAGATCTATTTGTTCTTACAGCTTTTTTCTAAATCTAAATTTAAGCAATTTTTTTATCTGACAATGTTACCTCACTATAGACTTGTAATGGACTCCAATTCCGAGTTCCGTAAGGCAATGCAACATCGTTTCACATTTATCGCCAGTTGGCAACGGGAAGATGACTTCGTAATAATTTCCAGTTTTGTCGCTCATCCATACCACTTGATCCACGTGCAATTTATTCAAGAGCTCTTGTAGTATCTGATAATCATGAATATTGTCTTATTTATGCGTATTTCTTTATAAAAAAATAATTATATTAACTTCAGATCTTTAAATTTTGTGACTTAATATCTTGTATAAATATTTCTGCAAGGGTTTTTGTAATTACCTAGGCAAATGAGAAGAAACCGCTTGTTTCTGGGAAATTGCTAGGTAGGTAATTATAGATTATATATATATATATATATATATATAATATAAGTATATTAATTAAAGTAAGTACTAACGCATTCCATGGTGTAAAATTCATCTTCTTCGGTGATATTGTCCAAAGTATTAGTAAATGCTTCATTACAATATTGCGTTAAACGAACTGGCATATTTTTGGCTTTCTTATTTCGTAACTCGACTTCCAAACGATAAGGTTTGAATGTCGAAGATTCTTCAACTGGAGTAATATTTGTCGGTTTTCCAAATCTCAGAATATGTTCATAATTACTTGAGGGAATACAAATAATAAACACAACGCCTGATGGCATTTTTCCAATAATTACAACTCGATTCTAGAAACCTAATAGACTTACTGGCAGTTGTAGGTACTACTGTGATTATTAGCTGCCAAATTATTACTATAGTATTAATTATTTAGCCCCTCTACACAGGACATAATAAAGAGGTGTCACAATATCTCGTTAACTAGTCAGTTAAGTACTCCCGGTAACATGTTTCTCATCAACAACTGCTTGTTAATTATGAACGAACTCCGGAAGTAGGTAACTATAGTATAATTGTAATAGTATATATTTAACCTAGAGTAGGAAGTGTATGATAATAATAAGACAAATATTTCATAAAGAATATTAAAATTAGGTTTGACTTCTAAAGCAGAAATAACCCATTTGTAAAATCAAAAGGTTTGGTTATATTTTTGTCGTTCGCATTAAATTTATTTAAGTACTATTCTTAGGCATTGAATAACCACTTTGCCTTTATTTATAAACTTAAATAAAAACAAAATTGTTATTTTATAGCTTTATATAATAACGGAATAGGTAACAGAATAAAATTTCTTAAGTGGTTATACTCGTGAGCATGTTTATTATATTTTTTAACTAGTGGTATTGTTTCTGAGGCGCCGTTTTTCTGAATCTATCTCTTATCAATAGCTTATTAATAATTTCGAATAATAATTACCTTATTAATAGTTTCGAAACTACTATTTTACAGAATATCCTTAACTAAATCGTTGGATTCATTTCTGCTTCTTCCTGCCTTATAAAATAATTTTATATATCCTTTGCATTACCTTTACGACATCCTTGATTAGATGTCTATAGTCTCCTGGCTCCGGATAATTCGTTCCCAGTAGCCTCATATGCATACTTACTAACGAATTACAGTTGCATATCAGGTGTTCCATGAATTCCGATTCCTCACTGCACAATCTGCACAGTGTGTTTCAAGACAGACCCATCTTGTATATGCCTCAACGGTATGTCTCCAGTTAAGGCACCCATTATGAGTCTTGCTTTTTGTCTATTTCCACGATAGACGAGTTTGTCCCATCCTTCAGCCTTGTTGGTTTTTTAGAATACCTAAGACCTTTTAATTTCTTCTATTCCTTTTGCTATTTTATTTTCGAATATTCCTCAAGAACATAATTAACGATACTTAATGCAAATCCCACAAATGGTTCAGAACAGAATTTTTGACTCCGATCCCTTTCTCGCCAACTCATCGGCTTTTACCTTTAATCTCTATATGACCCATATAAAACTTTATTACGCCTACCCAAATTATTTAAATTTTGAATGGTATTTAAGAAGTAGAAGAACTATTTCAAGTGAAATCCGAAAATGGATTCAGATTTTTCGAAGTTAACTTTTTGTAGATGAAGTTGGTGTTTTTATTTTAACTTGATAACAAATACTTTAGTTATTGTTGCTTGATTCTTGAAACAATGACTAAAAGAAAATATTAGTCATAGACATTTATTTTCTACTTTTCTATACCCGGAATGAAATAGGTAGGTACTTGTAAATATATCTAATTTAATTATAAAATTAAAAAGGATTAAAATAATGAAAGATAAAAACCATAGAAAAATTACAAATTTATTATTTTGATACTTACTAATTACTAAGGTCGGTTTATTGTAGGTACAGAAAATATATTACTATGTATACTGATATATTTTCTGCAGGTTAGTTCTGAACACGTTCCAAATAGTCAAATGACGCTGACTTTGTTGCGTGTAACACTTTTTTGGTTTCTCAAAGTGAAAAGAGATCAGGGTCGGTGCCGTTTCTCAACATAAGGACCACATGTTTACAACTTTATTATGTAAAAAAAATATAACGTTTTATCTCTTAGTTATATGGTTATTTTGTACCTATTTTAAATTACATTGGGACTTTTAAATAGGTATAGTCAATTACCAAAATGTACTTTCAATTACACATGAAAGGACTTAGAACCTAATACGACACCATAGTTTTTCGCATCAACTGTATAGTTTAAAGATGGTTCGATTGTCGGATGTGTGTTTATGGTGGCACAAGTATTATCATCATTATGCTCGTCATCAAAGCCCATATTATAAAAACCATAATTATTTGAATTTAAATAGTCAATATTATTGTTTTTGAGGGAATTACCATTTAAATTGTTTTGGCTTATAAAACTGCGTTTATCTTCATCTTTAATGTCGTTTGTATTGACTACTAAATGAGTTTCTGGGTCTAAAGGAGTGTAGCTCTCTCCCGATCTGTAACAATAAAAAAATATTTGAAATATAATGAATCTGTCTGCCTGTGATCTTCAAAACCTTATTTATTTTTGTTTCGTACTCAAAGTAAATTAAAAGCTATGTTTTTTAATTATAAAATAAGTTTACTCATTTTAGCACCCTGTGTTTCACTTTGATGGATGGGATATGGTAATGAATTTACAAGGTATAGAGGCATAACACCTGAATCCTAGGGGGAAAGGGATTGTTAGTAATGGAGACTGAGAATCCCATTGCTAGCAATATAACAGACCAGGTCGACCTCCTCGCGGTTCCCCCTGGAAACTATTATGTTTAATTCCTGATGAATTCATCATGATGGGCTAACTGGCCTGTTTTCATTCTCATCTATCACCCTTCACTGGTGCACCGCCAGCGTATCCCGTTAGCGCAGGCGGGGTTACCATACCATTTTCACCCATGAAAAAACACCTGAATCCTCAGGAAAGATGACGCATGGGGGTATCATGAGCAAAACAGTATACTCCGTTATGTCCATGGTACTTTTTATGTGTATAGGCGACGGTTACCACTTTCCATCAGGTGGACCGTCAGCTTGTGTGCAATTCTAAGTTGCATAAAAAATAGCATATTATGATTAATTTGTTTCTTAAATGTCATTCAAGTTCGTCCAGCCATTTAAGTTGAATAAGTAACAAACACCTTTTAATTGTTTTTCATTTATAATAATAATGCCTAGCCAGAGGTAGGTAATTATAATATTAACAGTCTTCAATTAGATATACCTACTGTAGGTAGTAATCTTTTAAACTGTCATGTTCCGTTTTCAATTTTCATTATATCTTGATCTAAGAAGGATACTAGTCGAATAAATGTGCAGAGCGGTTAAATTAGTTTTATGTGGTCAATTGGTTATTTTATACAGCGCGGCATATATATGTTTTGTTAGAAAAAGCAAAATAAATAGTTCAGACCCTAGATACAGTTAGCCTACATGTGTACCAAATATTAAACTGTGTCTATGTGAGAGAAGATGGTTGAAAAAACTTATTTACAATTGAATGACACTAAATTTCATAAATGTAATATTAGTAGGACGAAAGATTAGAAATGATATGTTACTTCGTAAAAAGGATTAGGATGGGATTTTGTGTGAGAAGAAATGGATAGACTTAGCAAGATTAAATAAATTTGATTAGACATTTACTGTGATTTCTGAAAACAGTAGTTTTCAATATTTTGTGCCCGCAAGCGCCTCTTTCCGATTTGGTGTCGACGGTAGGTCACCGTGTCACTTTGGACGACACCTTGAGCTTCTTTTCTTTCTTTTGTAGTTTCCTTAGGATCGTTGGACCATTTACTGTTGAAGAATTTTTTAGGCTTAATATTAAATTCAATATTAATAATTACAGTCATTTTAGTATTGATTGCTCTTTGAAATATATGTAGCTAAATAAGTTATTACAATGTACATTTGTAAGTTATATTATTTAGTTCTATATTAGTATTTTATTATCTACCTGTAAACTTCCCATGAGATATTGTTATTTATTTTGTTATTAGAAGCTTGCAAAAGGTTTCTATTTTCTCTCCACCACGATATGTCTCTTCTTTCAAGAGGACAAACTTCTTTAACCTGTAAAATATTGTACAATACATATAAGTACCTACATTGTTTCGTAGTAGCAATATATAGAATCACGTGGATCACTATCAACACTTATTCAGGTGATTGACCTACAACTCTGTCACCAAGTAAATGTACAACTAATTTACTAATTACGAAATCTTAGAAGTTATTTGATCTATGACTCGGAAACTTAGCAGATTGCTTATTATATTGAGACATTCTCACAATTCTAGCGAAAAGAGTTTACTTCAGTAGTCGTGGATTATTAATTAACTACGAAATGTTTGAATTTTCTTGGCTTATTGATAAAGTATAGAACCAATGTTTGAGCAGACTACAAAATTTATGAACAAGCTGAGACAATAGTGTCGTAGGTACTCTGCAACACTGCCTGTGTGTATGTGACTGTGTATGTGTACATACGTCACAGAACAAAATGTTTTGCGTGTGTGTATTTTCACAAATTTAATTTGTTTAGTTTGCGGATTTAAATTGGATAATTTAAATGAAAATAACTCGTGTAGGTACATGAGCTATATTTTTGTTTATATTCATTTTTTATTTAAGTTATTTCGTTAAATTATGATTTTTGACTTCAATCAATTAAGACTGATCAGAATTCGTCTTACTAACACAGTTTCTAAACTCCGGTTGAACTGTATTAGAGTCTTGGTTCATCCATTATAAATTACATGTGCAAACATACATTACATTATTATTTTCTAATTGTCACTGTATATTTTTATGTATTAGATGCAATAAAGAGTTAAATAAATAAACACGGATAAACTATGTTAGATGGTAGTAACAACTCAGGTCAGTTACAAAACATAATGTCAGCAGACATAAGAATGACGAATTGTGCCTACTTAATTAGCATAGATGTATTTAAGGAGATATATACTTTTTTTTAAAGGGCCAGGCCCCCCTCCTTGGAATATAGTCTTAAATGCGCCAATGTTAATAAGATATTAAGACGTGCAACTCTATTATTAAAGAAACAAAAAATAATTTACCTTGTAAACAACTACGCCAGCAATGAATATACAGAATATGTTGACCAATGTAAGAGAGAGAGACACTGTGCCGAGTAGAGCTAGTTCTGTTGCTTGGTCGCTACTGAAGTTTGCCGTTGTTACCACATTCGTCCAACGAGCCTCATCGTTGGAAAATATTAGGTGGACCAACGCCATAGCCCAGAGCAATCCCTGTCGATATATAATTTGTTTACTAAAGGTAGTGGCAAATAATCAGACGACAAAGTGGAAGTCTTCACGTACTTTTCTTTGTTTTGAATGTTCATATTGAAACAGCGGGAGAAATTTTGAAACTAATCCTACTAATATTTGGTTTGGCTATTTGTTACTCAATTACACCTAAACAAATAAACAATTTTGATTGACATTTGGCATACGCGTTATAACGTCGTATAAGATAAATAGGTATTTACTATTATATAATACGTGTCAAAACTACAAACCATTATGAAAAACTACCCTATAAGGGTAATACTAACAGCATTGACTGCAGGCGGCAGCAGGGATGCCGAGATAGCAGCGCCGACCAGCGAGGCGGTGTATTCGCCGAGCACCGCTAAGGCGACGCCTGCACCGCTCGGCAGTGCCACCAGCACGCCTACCCACAGCGAGCGAATTTCACACCTAAAATTGTAAGTACACCTTATATCAGATACACCTGGAGACATAGACTTTTGATAAGACTCGTGAGTCCATACAATTGGTGTGGGTATATGCGTGAGGCGTGTGTGTCTACTTTCACCAACATTAGATGAAGAAAAAGATGTTTGTAAAGATAAATATCCTTGAGACACGATTCTCTTTGCCTAGCCCTTAAACGATAACTGATTCTTTAAGTTTTTGTCTAGGCTAGATTTCAAATTACGCATATGGAGTCCCGGTTGATCCCTGGATGGGCTAATTTGGGGAATTAATTTTTTTCAACTTGCTCCTGTCTGGGTGTTTAGACTGTGATCCCAAATGTTCGTTGCCTGTTTTTTTTTTATAAAATACTGTATCCTAGCTTGAGAAGCCAGCGATCGATGTGATTATGTGGCACTTTATTTATTATTATTTATTTATGAACAGGTTTTTATGTGAGTTGGCATAGAAGTCACAAGTTGGCTTATCAAAACACTTTTTAGGCTGGCTTTTCTGTAATACTTATAATTTCTGTATGCTTTTCACGTGGTTTCTCTGATATGTACAACAAATGTCATATTAGGTATGATTTTATTTGATTTTCAGGATTTTTACATACCGCGACATCATCTCATATGTTGGCCATTCTCTAACTCCGTAGTTCTCGTCTATGGCGCAAATGACCAAGCCGAAGACAAAACCGATGACAAGTGCGAGGAACAGACCCAGCATTTCGTGCATTACACCCATCCGTTGTAAAGAGCGATCGCGGACCGCAGTACCTAAGGTTCCCGCTGTTATTGGACCCTGGAATTGGACATAATAATATAATGGAAACATATATGGAATAAAAAAAATGTACGCTTACAACTTCTACTTCTTTATCACAAAAATGTTTTATAAACCTATTTTAGATATTGAAGTGTTTTGTCTTTTCCTTTTACGCAAAATTCCTAATTTAGGAGAAAGTGAAAAAACACTGTAATAGCTGAAATAGATTCAAGACTAAGAAGGTGGTAAACAAGCATATGGTCCGTCTGATGGTTAACGGTAACTGTAGCCTATGGATGCCTGTAACACTAGGGGTACCACGTGTGCTTTGTCGACCTTAAAGAAATCTTAATACACTTTTTTTAGGAACCCTATACTGTAGTTTCTAGTGAAAACCTCGACTGAGTGCTTATTCCACAGCCTGAGTGTTCGCAGGAGAAATCTCCTCTGAAAACGCACTGTACGCGATTATTTAGCTACAGGCATTGTCTTACTTTTTATTAATAATATTATAAGAATAGAACGTAATTATGTAATGATGTGGATAATGAATATGTATCTACAATTCTCAAAAATCTACAAGCGACAGTTACTTTTCATTTGGTTAGCAGTCAGATTGTTAATCAAGTTTCAAGTTGTATGGTATAAAAAATATCAAGTTATATGTTGGCCTAATTACCATGAGAGGTGATATGAGCATACTGGCAACCAGTATAACAGTAGAGTCTTCAACAAGTCCAATGGCAGCCACGAATGCAGCTACAAGTAGAAGGAACACCCAGTCAAATGTGAGCGCTGCGTCAGCTCGTACCGCGTGTAGCACTTGAGCTAAATTGGTGCGCGTGCACACTGATGATGAGAAACGATTCCAAGCTGAATTCGTGTCACTGCAATAAAAATAAATGTATAGATAATTGTAGATTCATAATATATAAACAAAAGTTATTTATGTAGGATATTGAAGAAAAATTAATATGGTTAAAATGTGGGTAAGTGCAACCAATAATCTATACTTCCAAAGTAGAGCCCAGCTGTAAAACTGTACTAAAGAAAATAAGTTTATAAAAATAAGACGATGTATATATGGTTTCGCTACGTAACAATCATCATCATATCAGTATTTAACTGTCCACTATGAACATAAGCCTTGAGGAGTTTTACCAGTAGTTGCCAGGCTTGGCAGACGGATTGGCAACCGCAGTTAGGCTTTAGAGATGTTCTATGAGGGACGCTGCTGTCAATCCCTCGCCCTCCCTCGCTTCTTACGACACCCACGAGAAAAGAAAGGGTAGCTTATTCTATGCCGGGACCACACGACGCGTAACAGTAACTTAATAATAATAAAGCTAAATAAAATAAATAATAGACATCCGACTAAGTATCTGCATGTATAATCTAATCTTATCAATGCCAAATTTTATAAATTAGAATAGTATAGATAGAATAAAATATTTCACATAGTTATCGAAATATATTTATGTAGGATATGTGGTCTTATGTTCAAAAGCAGGACACTTTATAGGTATAAATAAGTCGATATCTAGTACAAGATATTATTTTATCAAACGTCTATGCTAATATAACCTACGCTTGTACCGAAGTAATCTCGCAGTCAACTAACCTATGCCACAACTTTTCTTGTTCAGACGTCAATTGTTTATCATTTTTGTTTGACTTATAATATAGTGTACACGGGATCACGCTGACGGAAGATTGATGTCGCGCTCCGATGCCAAAAGTTGTCAGTACCTGTAGCAACTCCTCGCACAAGTTGCCAGCTTCTAAAGAAAATATTACCTGTAAAAACAACAAATAATAAATACTAGTGAACATTTTATCCTGTTTGATCATAACCTTCAAGAAAAGAGCATATTTCTTTTTAATAGAGCCGGCAGCACACCTACAACGCCTTTGGTGTTGTGGGTGAACATGGACGGCATTGGTCACTTACGATCAGGTAAGCATCATGCTCGTTTGCCCCCTGTGTTATAAAAAAGAAATATGGGTAGTAGGTGTCTAATAGAAATAATTACATACTTTTTTTTAAATACATATATATTATGCAGAAAAAAAACAAACATCAGTAGTACCAGTATACCTACTCATGAATACAAATATTTATATTGTGCGACAATCGAAATCGCGACCATCGGATGGTGAAGAGTTACCTTTTTATAATGGATGATAATGGAATGGTAGGCCACCACAGACCACATACGAGTATATACGCTACGATAGTTTATGAAGAAGACCGAAGAGTATAATCTGCCACTATGTCTGGCGTTTATGGACTATAAGAAAGCCTTTGATTCGGTCGAGATATGGGTGGTACTACATTCCCTTCAGCGATGCTATATTTTCTACAGATATATCGAAGTGTTGAATTGTTTTTTATTTAATGGGTGATAATGAAATAGCTGGCGGGGCACCAGTGAGGGATGATAGGTAAGGATAGCAAGATAGGCCAGTTATCCCATCGTGATGAATACATCAGAAATTCAGCACGATGGTTTCCAGGGGTATATTGCTAGCAATGGAATTGGTAGTCTACATTACTAACAATCCGTTCCTCCGCAGTGTTGAAATGTATGTACAGTAAGGCTACGATGTCTATCTGAGTACAGAACTAAAGTACGAAACTCATCTCAGTGTAGAAAGGTGCAAGTAGGGTGATGTCATATCGCCGTATATAGTGTATAATTAGCCCCTGTATATACCTATTGTCTCTTTATAGTAAATCAAACTATTTCTAAATACGTTTATACTCTAATCTTATATAGCAAAATAAAATGTATTTTTTTATGCAACTTAGAATGGCAAACAAGGTGACGGCCCACCCGATGGAAAGTGGTAACCGTTGCCTATAGACATGAGCAGTATCATGGACATAACAGAGTATACATTCAAACCGAAACCGCCATGCAAACACAATTGCTTCGCGGTAGAAACACGAATGGGATAGACGTGCCCAAGCAAATGACTTATTTTTTCTAAATATTGTAACAAATATAGTAGTCATCTAACTACCTCTTAGTCAATAAACAATGACACCTCGAACGTGCTCAATAGCAAGGTTTGTGGAATTAGAATTGCTAGTCCAGTTAAATCCGATCTTGAACTCATCTTTTGAGGAGTTCTGCCTAATAAGTAAGATTTACTAAATATAAATAGAACCTATAAATATAGGTATGGTGTTCTTATGAGGTTTTCCCGGAAAGGCAGTGACGATCAATATAAAAATATATATAGGTACTCAGCTGTATATACTACTTTGCTGTGCCAATAAAGTTCCTTTTATAGATTAACTACGATTTGTTTGACAAAACGACCTATTATAAGAGACAAGCTAATTGTCCGGCAGCCTATAATCACTTCCTAATATAGGATAGGTATATCAAGATATCACATTATTACAGTGATAATATACTATTCGAATTTCCAATCCATTTAATTCAGAAACTGTGAGTGAATTTTATGACAAACCATTATTATGCATGTAATAATAGTAGGTAGTTATATATTTACTTTATTATCATACACTGTAAAATTGTATGAATGTAGATATCAGAGGAGAGTTCTTTTTTAGTGGTCGATAATGGAGTGGTAACCCCACCTAAGCTAACGGAATATACTGACGGGCAGCAGTGAAGAATGATAGGTGAGAATGAAAAGGCAGATCAGTTAACCCATCGTGATATATACAGCTGGAATTTAGCACGATGGTTACCAGGGAGGACCACGTGGAGGTCGACCTGATAGGCTGTATTGCTAGCAATGAGACTTGTAGTCCGTATTACTAACGATTCGTTCTCCTCTCCCTCCAGAAGGGAGTTAGACTAACCTACCTATTATGAAGAGATATATGAGACTGATTGTCTTCTATTTATAAGAGGAGTTAAGATTCTCCGGAATCGCCATGCATGCATGAAATAAGTTATGAAAGGGCAGAAACAAAAGGCAGTATGGATAGCCTTCGGTTTTGTCTGCTTTTCTCGCAAGAGATTTGGTTTGGAGGTAAATTACTTACTTTCCAAAATTTATCATCTCTCATTTTAGTCCAGGTTGCATTAAAAATATTCAGGCGATCTATGATCTCTGACAGTATCTGAAAAAAATTAGATGATAAGTATAATAGGATGGGTATTTTTACAGGTACTCAAATGGGTGATCATCATCATCATCATATCAGCTATTAATTATCCATGGCTAAACATATGCATCCCCTATCAACTACCATAAGCACCTACATCCATTGAAATGGGCGATACTGTATTTGAATCCCTAGTTTGATCAAAAGCCGCATGTAATACAGTTTCAGAGGGCTTGACTCAGGCGAACGCTCTAGTTCTGAAACAAGTGTTCTGGTAAAGTTTTACCTAGAGACTACAATATCGAGTTTTTGAGAGAAAAAAAAAATTAAGATTTCTTTAAAATACGCCCTTGATATTGCAGGTAGCTTTAAACTATAGTAATTACAAGAAACGAGTTATATGCTTGTTTATTACCTCTATGGTATAATAAAAGTTAATATACTATTTCAGAGTAGTAGAGTATTTCAATAGATATTTTATGAAGCCTTAAGTTTAGTGATAAAGAACGGGTTATTGGTACACAAATATATCTTCCGCACGAAAATTCGTGCATACATATTAACTACATTTCAAACAGACTCTACCACAATTGCTACAATTACAGGAATAATAAAAGAATTGACCAAATACAAATAGGTGCAGCCGTTTTGTGATGTAGTGAAGTGATGCACTTACATACATTCGACAATTGATTTATATATTTATTTATTTACTCATTAGTACGTATATTTTTATATGGCGGACTTAATTGCTAAAAGTATTATATCCCAGTTTACCATGGAGAAGAGTCAAAATACTCAAATGCAGTACTAGTAATTATTGATATACATTGATATATATATATATATATATATATATATATATATATATATATATATATATATATATATATATATATATATATATATATATATATATATATATATATATATATATACGAATATGAATTTAAAAATATTAAATGCATCTGCTAAGAACCCTAGATATTTTATGCAACTTATTTATTGTTTATTACATACATTTGTATAAATATATTTATAAATAGAAAAATATATTAAAAATGGAACTATTGTTTTGAGTTATTAGGCCATAAGGTTAGTTCATTCACAAGCACAATGCTCGGACGGAAGTTTGAGTCAAATGAAAGTCCAATAAAATCTACAATGGCCACTAACACAATGTTTCGGCAATTTCCCTTTTCGTATTTTGTGTAATTAATTATTTACATTTCGACCATTGTTCGTTTTACCTAAATATTTCGTACGTTGTTCGATATTATTTTGCAAAAATTAAATTTGTAAAAATACGTCATTCAACAATTCATTATTATCTTTAACTTACATACTTATTTCGTTTAATATTGCATTTATAAAAAAATTGATTCTTTTTCAACCGATTGCAAAAAGAAGCAGCTTCTTAATGCAGTTGTATTTTTTTTTGTTTTGTATTGTTTTTCATGACTCCGTTAGTTGTAAATCGATTTGGAAAACTCTTTTTTTATCTGAAGGGATATACTTATATGGTAGATTCGTCGTATGAAAATTTTGTCAATTGATTCAGTAGTACAGTTTTTAAAATAAAATAACTGGTTTTGCCACAATTAAAGTTGGTTTTATGTGAAACACAGTTTAATTATTTTACACTAAATCGAGTTTATTGCTCGCTTGATGGCCACGATCAAGATGTTTAAGTATGTGCCATTAACAATATTATGTTTCAGTAACAAATAGGTATATTTAGTAATTTTTCTTTAAGTGGGTGAAAATGGAATAATAATCTCACCTGCGATATCGGTATACGCTGGCGTGGCACCAGTGTGAGATGATAGGCGTGGATGAAAGCAGGTCAGTAAGTCCATCATGACAAATCCCACAAGAATTAATCACGTTGGTTTCCAGGGTAAATCGCGTGGAGGTCGACTTGACAAGGCATATTGCTAGCAATGTGGCTGTTAAATCCCATAACAAACAATTCCATTCCCCTCTATATTTAGTAATTAAAAATATGAGTACATAATTTATTCATAACAACCCATTATATATAATGTCAATAGCGGACACGAGTCAATCCTTACAAAGGTAAAATATTATGCTATAGTGGACTATTTTGTTTGAAACGCTGCCCCTAGCCACCTGACCTGGGGAGAGGGTTTGTTAGTAGAGTGAATTAATTACTCTTTTTTTTTTATACAACTTAGAATGGCAAACAAGCTGACGACCCACCTGATGGAAAGTGGTAACCATCGCCTATATACATGAGCAATATCATGGACATAACGGAGTATACTGTTTCGTCCATGATACCCCCCATGTGTTGCCATTCCTGAGGACTCCGGTGTTATCCCTCTGTACCCTGTAAATTCACACAATATTCTACCCTTCAAACCGAAACACAGCCATCCAAACACAACTGCTTTACGGTTGAAACACGATTTGCTTTTTTCTGTTTTTTGCTAACAATATACTTTATTAGGTCGATCTATACGCAGTACGCCCGGAAAGCTTAATACGTAGTTAATTCACTTTTGTACAAGTATTGTCTGTTTGGGTGCCACTGTCCCATTCGTCTTTCTGCCATGAGGCAGTTTTTTTACTATTGAAGGGTCCGGCAATTGAACACGTTCTCACGTTATAGAAAGCGATGATGTGGCCTAAGATGAAGCTTGCGGGCTCACGAAGTTTTATTTGCATGGCTGTGTTTCGGTTTGAAAGGTAATATGACAATTTAGTTATAGGGTACGTAGGCATAACATCTTGGTTCTAGGGAATGGTAACGCATGAAGTGTATCATAGGCGACACAATATGCTCTGTTATGCCCATGGTATTGGTAATAATTCTGTTGCATAAGAAAAATTGCAGGGAGTCAATGGATACAGGTAGCTTAGAACCGTTTTTATGGCAGTCTATGGGAGAGAGGCTTATGTCTAGGAGTGGCCGAATAATGGATGAAATAATGCTGATGATGATGATAAGAAAAGTAATTCCTGATGAATTAATCATGATGGTCTGTGAGCAAGTTTCATTATCTGTGTATTACTAAATTAGTTTTATGATTATTATGAAGACACCTATAGGTACTTACAGTTTCAAGTGGAGTGTCCCAATGAAAAGCATCAAGAATATCCACACCCCTTATAGGTTTCGTTATTTTTACTTTGTTCTTTCTAGGCTTGATGACTTGCTTTATTCCATCCCAAGGAGATTTGATGATCTTAAGATCACTGTCCAGATAATTGTTTAAAGTGTTTTCGCTTCTAGATTTATATAAGTCTACATTTTTTTCACTTTTATGTAAACAGTCTGTCGAATTATACTTCGACATTATGGAAATGCTGTCTTCTTTTATCGAAGAATCACTAGATGGTGATTTGCTGCCGAATCTTTTACTTTGTTTGAGTTCACGAATTACTTCGTATGCATTTTCATATTTCTCTTTTTCTAAAATAAATTTTGTTACTTTTTCTCCCTTCCTCAGTTCCGTTTCGTGCTCCTTTTGGGGAACATTTACGACAAATAAGACGCCCACCATTTTTTATTTCTTTTTCAATATTTACGTGTTAAGAATATTTATTAGCAGAAAATAATATAATAACTTTAATATAACAGTCAAGTCATGCGCGCGCGTACTCGATACTATTCGTACTGTAGCTACAGTAACTTACCCGTTTATTTTCGACTGCTGTCATTATAAGGCCGTAGAAAATTGTAAAACAATTGACTTCCTTTTTCATAATAGTTTGAAATTGCCAACATTTAGAATCTGCATAAAAATCACTAGGTACATAAATGCTTTCGTATTATCCTTAGTACAACACTTAAGATTTATCTCCTCGGCGTTTAGTAATAATTGATAATACTTACTGATTACCTGGTCTTGGTATTTTTCTATCTATTAACCGATATAAAACGAAGGTATGTTTTTTTTGCAGATAAAATAAACACTTGTACCTTATTGATTTGAATAAAATTTAGGTACGTAGATATTTTCTTAAAATACAATTTGATACTACTACTAATACGATAAAACTTTACAACTAAAATAAATGTTAAAACAAAATTCCATAACTATGCTCGAACAATATTTCATTAAACTAAAATCAGTTGTAAATTTCGTTCACACTTATTCTTAGAATAAAATTGCGCAAATTGAAATTTTGTGAGTTTAGATATAGATTTTGGGAATAGTGCTTCAGAATCGATCTCAATAAGGTTATTGTCGTGCTGTCAACTTAACGATGATGATTTCTTACTGTTTATTTATACCTGTATATATTAACATCATTAATAATATAGGGCTCGTAAAAAGAACTTCCATTTATGATGCCCCTGTGCGACAAGTACCTAATAACTACAAACTCGAGCAACAATAAGGCTACTATTCTTATTGCAACTAAGTAGCTCTATACAGGGGATACAAGTTTATTGACAATCTCGTTCACGTGGACGATTCCATCCTGAGTGTACCCTCAGCAACGGTTGCGGATCAAAATAAAACTTGTATCGCGCAGCCGTAGCTGGCGGTGGCGGAGGGCGGGCGGTGCAGGGCGGGCGCTAGCTGCCCGTCGTCTGCCGCCCTGCCAGTCGCGGCGCAGCCTGCCGCCCGCGCGTATCTCGCGCTTCACATGCGCCCCGCGATCAATAAATGACTAACCTCATAACAACTGCAAATCTCACCACAAAACAATCACTATCGATTGAACTCCACCGCCGTTGACGACACAGAATCTCTTATCTCGCTGTTGGTAAAGTTGCATTCAAGACACACAACCCCTTTGTCAACACCATAAAACATGGCCACCCTGGCAAAACACATGATTACAACCATCGGGTACTTAGCTGCCATTGGCCATACCTAAATTGTTTACGTGTGCCAATTTACATGAGTATCTACATTGTTTTTTTTTTCATAGCGTTACGTAAATGCTGGTCGGGTGGCGTGTAAAATCGATAAGTTATTAAATGTTCGTCGAAATGATTTGATTACCAATTTAATATTTAAATATTTTGCAACATACATTTACCGTTATATAGTTTTAAAGTTGATCTTTATTCGAAACAATGCGGTTTGTCCAGTGTGGTTATAACAGTTAAAGAAGCCACTGCTCAAAAATCAGGTGTAAAATGAAAATTCATCTTATTATATAACGTTATCCTTGTTATGACGTAAGGGTACAGCGTATTCTCCGGTTCATATACAAGCATGTACCAATATTGTAGGTAGGTATACTTTCTGTTTGTTTAGAATAGTAGGTAGTTACTTACTTAAACTGTATTAAGGACATTATTCGCATCTTCACGGATTCTAAGGATAGGAGATAAAACAAAAGAAGATAAAAATCAAATTAGATGGGAATAAATAGATTGTGACTTGTGATTCTTGTTTATAATTTAGCAGTATATAGTGGAAAAGTAAGTAGGTATAACTTAAATAGCAAATAGAGGTAGGTACTTATTACTCGTGAGTATATTTGAGCTGCCAAACTAATATTTATATATGGCAGTTTTCAAATCAGCTGAAGTGATGTGGCAAGTATGAAAGGTATGTAATATTGTATGAATTCGTCTTTATGTGTATAATCTTGCACATATGTATATGTTCATAAACGGAGTTATTAAAATAAATAATATTTAAGTATACCTATTTAGAATATTTTTGAATTAGTACTTAAATAAAAAATGAAAGTGGAATATACATAAAATTTACAAATTTTTAGAAGAAGATTATTAATAAAACATTTAAAATTAATTTTATAGTTACTTGATTTCACGTGTTATTTAAAACCATAATTACCCGCCTTCCCAAAGGTTCGGGCGTGTGTATCCTTATATTTATTTAATAATCAATTAACACCTTACTATGGGCTTGAGCTTCTCTTCATAAGAGGAGAATATAGGCCACTATTATCATCATGGCCTGCGGGTTAGTACAGAGATTTATACAGCAGAAAATCTCTATATTTCAAGCTTTTTTCTCTTGTGCTGCTGTATGTACTTTGTTTTGTGATGTTTTGCTACCTTAGTAATCTTTTGTGATATCCTTAGGTTGAAAAGGAATTGTAAGCTATTGTATTTTTTTGTTTTAAATGTGTAATTGCTTTAGGCTACATGACTGTTATTATCAAAATTTGCAAAAATTTTTGATGTAAAACAGTAGTGATACATTGTATTCTTGCTTAGTCATCATACGGAACATCCATATGTCTATACTTTTAATTTTATTTTTTATATCTTAAAGAGGAAAGATTTGATTTTTTGTTTGTAATCAATAAAGACAAATATGTACTACTCAAACGATTTTAAAAATTCTTATATAGAAAGCTACACTATCAGTGAATAACATAGGCTATAATATTTTTATTTTTTATTTATTTATTCTTTATTGACCATATTACAAAAAAATGTCTAGTGCAAAAGGCGGACTTAATACTATATACCATTCTCTCCCAGTCAACCTTCGGCTAAACAGAAATTTAATTATGCGGTAAAAAAAAATATAACACATACAGTAGAGAACTACTGCACATTATCTTTCTAATTATCTACCCGTGCGAAGCCGGGATGTATCACTTGTATAATTATGTAGTATTATTATTTTTATATTATAATTATGTAATTATATCCGAGTTTTGGGCATAATGTGTAGTTTGAATCAACTTTATGGATCTTTACAAAATATATATCTTTAAATTGATTTCAATACTCGTAGTGTAATTGCTTTAAGCTAAATTTAACAGTACTACCTTACGGTACATGACTACTGCTATCAAAAACTTGCAAAATTTAGGTAATAATAAATAAGATATGATTTAGGATCGTTTTTTATAGCGCTAATGTTTATATTAATTTCATTACGATTAATCGCTTTTTTGTGTGTGAATCAAAATTTTTACTACTACATCGTATAAAACAAAGTCGCTTCCGTCTGTCTATCCCTATGTATGCTTAGATCTTTAAAACTACTCAACGGATTTTGATGCGGGTTTTTTAATAGGTAGAGTGGTTTGAGAGGAAGATTTATATGTATAATACATACATAATATAGTAGAAAAATACTGATATTTTTAGAGAATTTAGTTGTGCCGACCGGCGGCGCTTTAGTATCAGCATTGCACCCGTGTGAAGCCGGGGTGGGTCACTAATTAGTGATAAAATAAAACAATACATACATAAATACTACTATCAGAATACACCTATCTATTTATTAATGTTATTACTATTCTTCGTACATATAATATTAATATTCTTGCACCTAGCCAGTAGCTACAAATTATCTTCTGAATTATTATAGCCACAATTCCTTGTAATAATAGATTAGTAATTTGGGCAGTAGATATAACAACTTAACCTATTATTGAGACCGATACTAAAGTCAGGAAATGTGGGTCATGGGACGGTTTCGGTAAATGCCAAAGAGAGTAAGATAACTGTGTAGGTATATGTCACTGTAATTTATAGCCAACAAAATTACTTTGTAACGATTGTTTGTTGATTTTTTACCCAAGTGACAATAAAAGGAGGGTTATGTTTTTAATAACAGTAATTTAATATTGTATATGCAAAATGTGCTTGGGAATATATGTTGCCAAAAATATTAAATGAATTAACTGCGAGTGTTTGTAACGACGTATACATATAATATACATTTGATATACAATGCCCAATATGTCCCCAGCCGCGTTTTTTTAAAGGCCAGAGAGGTCTCCGAATCCATGCCAGTAAAACACATAAATAAAATTCTGAACAACCTATTTCCCAATTTTTAAACTACTCGAACAATCAAAACAAGCCTTTCTATGAAACACTTAGTCAATTAAAACATTCTGTCCCTCTTGTAAAAAGAATACCTAGAGCCGCCCGTTCATCTGTGGCGAAAAAACTATCTGAAAGCCTAAAAACTGCTGTTTCAGATAACTCGAAACATAGCTGGGAGCTTTTACTAACTTTCCCTTACCGTATATTACATGCCGACATAGACCGTAAAAACCTTTCCCTAACCAGTTCATTAAAATCAAACTGTTGCAGCTCGGAACTGGAATCTGATCGGATCTCAAACCTCCTCAAACATCTAACTTTTCGCAATGGAAGTAGTATTTATAAAAAAGTTGAACGCAAAGTGCATGACGGAGACGTCAAAAGTGCGGCCCGTCTCCTCTTTTCCAATGATGCTGTAGCTCCTAATATCCCATCTACACTTGCTGCTTTACATTCTAAACATCCACCTTTGCCATCCAACCTCAACCTTCCTGACGCACCCGAAAACACAGATATCTATATCGTCGCCTCAACCCAGGATGTCTTGCATGCAGTTAAGTCCTTCAACAGTGGGTCTGCTGGTGGTCTAGATGGACTTACTCCTCAGCACCTTAAAGACCTCTTATATGGTACTCCAGGCGATGCCGGCACCTCGCTTTTGGAGGACTTAACAGCCCTTGTAAACCTAATGCTCTCTGGAAAAATAAATGAGAGCATAACCGAAATTTTATACGGTGCAAACCATTGCGCTCTCGCCAAAAAAGACGGCGGTGTTAGACCTATAGCAATAGGTACTACCTACAGACGGCTTGCTGCTAAAATCTGCTGCAAAGCCATATCACATAACCTGAAAAAGGAATTTGAGCCATATCAGCTCGGTTTCGGTTCCAAGGGTGGGTGTGAAGCAGCCATACACTCTCTCCGCACATACATTACCCAATCTACCAACGATATTTTGCTAAAGGTGGATGTTAAGAATGCCTTTAATTCACTTAGTAGGGACGCCCTGTTAACTCAAATTAAACAAAAAATTCCTCACATTTACAACTTCCTATGGCAATGTTATAGCGAACCTACTAAACTTATGTATTTAAATAATACTTTACTCTCGGCTGTTGGTTGTCAGCAGGGCGACCCTCTGGGACCAGCCATTTTTAGCCTAGGAATTAACCCAATTATTCGGCTTCTAAATTCGAAATTCAATGTGTGGTATTTAGACGACGGTACCCTAGGAGGAAGTGTAAACACCGTATTCGATGACCTTCATATTCTAATACAAGAATTCGAACATATTGGGCTTGAACTAAATTTTTCTAAATGTGAACTTTTCATTCCGGATAGTTTATCTAATAAAGATGAAGTAATCTCTAAATTTAACACCCTGGCTCCAAATATTAAAATATTAAATGAAAGTTCACTTCACCTCCTTGGATCACCTATTTTTGATGAATCTTTCCCCAGCTTTGTCGAAAACAAAATTAGTAAGTTCTGTTCAAATTCCGACCGCCTCCTAAATATCAACACTCACATCGCATATAATATTATTCGATACTGCCTTTTTGTACCCAATTTTACTCAAGTTCTTCGTAGTACACCCTTTTGGAAATATCCAGACCTCACCGCAAAATTTGATGAAAAAATAAAGTGCATTCTGAGCTCCCTCTTTAATATCACTTTCGAAGACCGTATATGGACTCAGGCCTCTTTGCCGGTCAGGCATGGGGGCCTGGGAATCCGCCAAATCTCCCATATCTCCCTACCAGCTTTTCTATCATCAGCGCACGGTACGCAGAATCTCGTGAAAAAAATACTAACACCTTTTTTCGGTGATTTCGAGATAGCTTACCTGCCTGAGGCTAAAAAAGCTTGGTCTCTGGCTTGTCCCAACGTAGCTTCTCCCATAAATCCCAAAATCCAGAGGCAATGGGATGAGCCCATTAATGATTTATACAGAACTTCGTTACTAGACTCTTCCCAGAACTCTGCTGAA